ATCATATGGGAAAAAACCCAACAGGTTGGGTGAAGTTGAATGATAGAACAGCCAGTACAACCAGCCTGCCCATACATGGATTGAAATTCAGCTGGTAAACCGGTAGAATTTCAATCTGTCATGGCCGGCTTCAGTGTTGCCAGCCTAAATGAGAAGTGCTGTTACTGGCAGAAACTCCAGGCAAGACATTTTGTAACAAATTAAAAATAAAACCGAACAGTGAGGCCAAAAATAGATACAAGATTTACATCCAGTTTAACATATCGTATCCTACCGTCTTAGGTTGATACCATGGCCAACAAGGTCACGGAGTTACAGCAAAAAAAAAAAAAAAAAAAAAAAAAAAAATCATGTTACCTTGGAATTCCCACCAAGATTGAATTTTTCTGTAATAATAACACTTATATTTGTAGAATGAAAAGATGCAGCCAACTGTACTAAACGTTTTTATGTGGTAACGGACGCCTTCAAACACAGCAGGCCCACACAATATCACCTTCCTATCGCAATGGATTGGTCCCTATCATCATCTGCTGGATGTTCTTCCCAAACAGTAAAAAGGCTTACATTTTTTTTTTCCCACTTTATACAGCAAACCAGTACAATGAAAATTTTCAAAAAAAGAAAAAAAAACTTTACTTTTTTTTTTTAACCAAAATAAATTAGTAGCAGATTAAATAAAAAATACATGGCAATGTTAGATATTTAAAAAAACAAAAACAAACATTCTTTAACTTAAAAGAGAAAGGCAGTGCTGTTAGCAAGCAAAGGGTTATAACGGTTATATAAATGAGTAAAAGGATTTATTGGCGAGCTGTCTGGACTAAAGAAATAAACAATTACGGATAATAAAATACATTTCATTATTGCAGTACAAAGGCCTAGCCTGTACAACGTGTCCTTCAGGCATTGAAGTCTACCATCTTTGAGTTGGTCAAGGGCTTTGAAGAAGTGATATCAATATGAATGGTGTTTAAACACTTGTGGCCCAAGCGTGGGTTTGGTATACATCTTCTAGATGTTCAGATCTCTCCAAACTGTGGAATCCTATACAAATATGGGAAATATGGTAATCTGGGGAGGCAAAGCTAAATTCCAGGATCTCACATGGAATGCATACTTAAAAAAGGTCACCCACATCTGGCATTGACCACAATTGATAAAGTCAGTGCATAACTCTAGCTATTGAATGGTTAGCAGGTCATTGAACCCTTGTCTAAGCGCATTGACTTTGAGTAATGCAGAAAGGAGAAAATATAAAACATTTACTATGTGTATAGGTTAAAAAGATTTCTTTTTGAGCTGGCTGTACTTGTGGCTAAAAAAATAAATATGCTAAAGAAAATGATTTCCATATTTCATACCAAAGGCCTACAACTTGCCTTCTAAGCAATCAGGTCTACCAACTTTGAGTCAGCCAAGAGCTTTAAAGAAAAAAAAAAAAAAAAAAAAAGTGATCACCACGTGTGGGTTTAGCATATCTCTATCTCTTGGGCCCTAGACATAGTCATCTGGGGTCCTCAATATTGTGGCATTCAAAAGGTTGACCACATCTGATGAAGACCACAAGTCTTAATCCGGCTAGTAGGTCTTTGAACCGTTGTCTACAGTCTTCCATATGGATCATCTGAACCGTTGTCTACAGTCTTCCATATGGATCATCTAAATGTTGTGAGGAGAAGAACATGCATATACTCAAGTAAAAAGGACAGTTCCTTGTTCGCTTGTCAAGACAGGATTGGTGGAGTGAGCTGCATTAACTGTACTCACCTCCAGGTCTCCAAATCTGTATCTGCCAGAAAAAAAAAACACCAAAAACGAATCTACAGCTTGACTGAAAGCTAAATGTACTCAATTTCCAGTTTAGACCGCAGTTGTGTTTACAACCATCCAAAATAATTTAAAATTAGCCTGGCCATTATTTCCCATAATCCTCTATCTGCCCTCAATCTGACTGACCCACTTTCTTAGGAGGCCATAGAATGATTTGCTTTCCTGCAGGAAAGAAAAAAAATCGCTCAATTTCCCCCATCACGGTCAGTGTTGGGAGATTCCCTCCCGTGGAATTGTGTTCTCCTGGCAAGGAGGGGGCGGCTCCCGTTGGGAGAACACAATGATTACTGCTAGTGGCTATAATAGCTGCTAGCAATCATCACATGTTAAATCCAACAGGCTGGTTGTACCCAAACTGATCAATCGATCAACTTGGGTACATTTAGCCTGCCCATACATGGTTTGAATCTCAGCCGGTCCCTGCTGACCCGGCCAAGATTTTAGCCATCTATGGCAGGCTTTAGTCTGCAAAGATCCCAAGGTTAAATTTAGGGTATGTAATATGGCATATCTAACCATGATCTGCAGTCATTTATTGGTAGGATACTGGCAATGTGTGCTGTACAAGATGGAGACCTCACACTTAGCACTCATTTTGAAAGATATCATTAACAGCAATTGCAGTGCCCATTTCAACATCTGCAGAACAGAAGAAGTAAGGATCCACCAAAACAAAATTTGAAAAATCCTGGAAATCCCATTTAAAGCAACTTCCGCAGCTCGAGTTTTCTGTGGGTATCCGTATGGAACCTTCCATGGGAAATAATCAGACACCGGAGAAGACTGAAATGCAGGCCGAAGGTGCTGCAGGTTGCTTGAACTGGGGCTTTCAATGAACAGATCAGAAATCAGGGAGAGGGTAGGTGTGGGTAATTGGCACTCTACACTCGCCTCTCCTAGCTCCAAACCATCTAGGTCAAGTATGTTCAAAATGAACATTTCAGTTTTTGGTTTTAGGAGTCCATTGTTGGTCGGATGTTGGGTGCTATGGGTTCAAACTGGACCTACAGCCTTCTTTTTCTTGTACAGTGAGTAAGAGTGAAAATGTTATTGTAGACTAGCTCTCTCAGTACCTGTCCTCATAAAAAGGGTTTACCCCAAAAAAATTATAAATAAGTTGAGGGGGCCAGCAGGGATACAAATCAAATTATAACAAATCAATGAAGACTTGCTCTTGTCCTTTACCCTTCCCTGAAGTCCCTCTTGGGCTTTGTTCTTTTTTTTTCAACCTTACTTACCTTTTTCCTTCAGTCGTTAGCCGACCAGGTCCTTTTTTTTTTTTTTTTTTTTTTTTTATAAACTGGGCAGTGGGAGGTCATTGCTCCTGGAGTGAGGGACACTCACATGGCCCAGACTGAGAGTGTGTATATGACAGCCTCGAATACCATAAGAAGTATGAATGACAATGGCCAGCATTTCACCCAGAAGAGAATGGTTTTGCAGGATAAAGGAACAAGCAAGGAACAGTAGTGAAGTACAGAGAAGAAGAGTAGGTCATATTTTTTGCCCCTACAGGGGATAACTAAAAAAAAAAAATGCTGGAGATAGGCTTTAAAGTATATCTATAGCCATTTTATTATTTCAGATAGAGTAGAGGAGGGTTCAAGCCTAGTATTTTATACTATCTGTGCCTTGTTAAGGAGATTTCCCTTCATTTGTTGCCTTGTAGACTCAACAAGAAGTGAGAGGTTATCTTTCCAATGCAAGAGATACCCCCTTGTAGAGAGTTGTCTTGGAAACAGGTGTCCCCATTAGAAGATTTTCTCCTCTATTTCTGTGCTGGTGGCAACTCAAAATTTAGAATTTCCCCTCATGTTCCTTTGTAGAGACATTGGTGATCAGGACAGTTAGAGAGGATGAATCTCCATAATGAGGACATAGACCACAGCAAAACCCTTAGAGGGCTTCTACCCCCACCCCCCCCCCCCTTTCACCACCACTAAATTCAAATCCATTAAAAAAAAAAAGTTGCCTTTATTTATTCTTAAATGTAATCATTGGCTTCCTATAGTACTCCTATACCTCCTGTTACTGTGAACATCCTACAGAAAAAGTGAGATCCTACAACACTAGGGTGAGAAGAGGTGGGTGGAGTTGGGAACCAAAGTGCAGAGATCTCAGAACAAGCATATATCCAAATCTGAAACAGGTTTGGGTGGAGTGACTTTGTAGATTCTAAACCAAACAAATAGACAGATAGATCGTTTTGGCATCAAAGAATCTACGATTACTAAAAGAATCTTGGGAATTTTAGTGGGTCAAGTGAGAAGGATGCAGATGGAAGACTTGAGTCTCCTGCAGAGACAATATTAAAAGTAATAAAATGGTGAGCGTGAAAATCTTCGATATCAGCCCTAAATACCCTCAGAATGACAGGGAAACCATGTGAAGACTAAGTGCCAACAGAATAAGATATACAAACCAGTTTAAACCAATCACAGTTCAGATTATGTAAGCAATTTACCATATATGGTGTGATAAATCAATGTTCAGAACTCTTTTTTCAAAAATTGAGGCCGAGTGGTTAAATAAAACAAACAATAAAAAGTTAAAAAAAATAAATAAATAAACACAACATTATTTCAGTCAACCCCACATAATGAATAATGTTCTATTGTCTGCTGGGAATGTCAATGCTTTGATTGAGCCAACACACACTTACAGAGAGTGGTCAACATTTGGAAATGGAGTAGCGAATATTAAATCTTTTCTTCATAGAAACTTGTATATAAAATAAGGAAAGAAACCAACCAACCAAGTAACCAACATGAGCTTAGAAAGCAGAAAAGACAACAAAAACATTTGTGCAAATGACCTGCGTAAAGTGCAAACATGAATGGAAGCAAAACCAAAAAAAAAAAGAACCGAAGTCTTGAATATTCATCATGAAGTACCTTAAAGGGTTCCAAAATCCAGCAACAGGGTTTTCAGTCGTTGTTCTTTCGGCAAAGGATTCTAAGAGAAAACTGTTCTCCCATATACCTTAGGTCTCAGAGTTGTGGAGTGAAACGATTTATAGATGAGATGGAGAGTATAGTAGGTTAATGCTGCTATAAGTTTTAAAGCAGAACTGGACTTCTTGTTGCTTTAACTAGAGCCATGAAAAATCCTGATAGGACAGCTCCTAAGAATGGCCGATACAGATCTGTGGGGAGTAATGGTGTGTCTCAAAGTTCAGTGCATGTAACTGGTGTTAGGCCTTGAATCAGCAACGTTGGCCCCAAACCCACCGTGAGCGTGTCTAGTTCCTCCAAGTAGCATTCATGAAGAGCAGAGTCAGCAGGAGGCCGTGGGAGATAGAGGAACCTTACAGCAGACTCAGCGCCTCCCTCCTCTGCCACTACACGGTTGGCTGCGTTTAGATACTCAGCAGGAATGGGCTCACGGGTGAGGCCTTGTCCTTCACTGTTTTGTCCCCGTAGGATGGCTACTCTGTCCCAAGCTACCACACGGATGGAGGCACGGATGCGAAGCTTGGCAAGCAGTTCCCGGAATTTCATTTCTGCTGCTAGCCAGCCGTTGCTAGCCCCACTACCACTTGAGCTTCTTGACTCTACGCAAAGGAAGACACGAAGCTGGTAGCGGCGCCATGAGGCAGCCATATTGAGAATGCATGCCATCTGCAGAAGAAACAAGCTACAGACATCGACATAGGCAGAAGCTTGAGGTCGGAGGAGATCCAGAGGCCACACATCAATATACATGGCAGCATCTGATCCAGGGGTTCCTGGCCTTAGTAAAGATGAAAAATTCCGAGCCAAGACAATATTTTTATGCATCTTCAGAGCATCGCAGATTATTGCAACATACTCCTTAGGATTAACATGATGAGGCATTTCAGGACTTCGAACAGGGGGGAAGTGGGCCTGCAAAGAGGTGGCGTCAACACCAAATGGGTCGTCTCGGGGTGAAAGACCTGGAGTGAAAGCAGAATCCTGAAGAAAGTAGTCATCGGGGCAGGCGTTGTCATAGAATCCAAGAACCAGCGTGTTGGGCTTCATTCCACCTGAAAAATAAGAACAGGAAAATGTAAGTCATGGGTGTCGAGGAGAGTGACAAGGTAAAGATTTACATTTTGGCCATAAAACCTACCAAGTCCAGTAATACGCAGCAGCTGTTGCGTTCCATGTCGGACAGTTGGACTTAGGGTAAGGTCCACAAAGGCTTTGACATTGAGTTTGTCAACCAGACTAAGCCAGAAGCTGTAATGTGCCTGAACCGGGTCTGAAGGAAGAGAATCTGTAAGGAAATAAAATATACATAATTTTAAATATATTAAGATTTAATTACGAAGATTGTCTTTACTCATGACTTTCTTCCACCTTCGGTAGCATTTACGATCCACTACTACGTTCATGATCCAAGTTGTCTTTTCAACGCTTCGTAACAAAAATGTGAAATACGACCACTCACAATGGCAGTCAAGATTACCATGACTGGGGAAACTCACCCAAGTCTCCGGTCTCTACGTGACCCAAAATGTAAAGACCACCTTTCTTCAGGTCATTGATGAACTTGATAAGCTGGCAGGATGTCCGAGGGTTGGACACCATAAGAAGAATTTGTGGCCTCCAGAATTTAACGTGCTCTTTCCGTACATCGAGGAGAAGGAGATACTTTCTGACCTGAGGCACCAAGAGAGACAAAGTGTCCTTTGATTAATGCAGAACAAGTCCTTCAGCTAACATAATATGTGGACATACAGATCCCTTTCTAAGGTTTTCTATAAACAGTACAAATCATAAGTCCTTGTCATGCAAACCCAAGTGGTTGATTTAAAGTGATCCTGCCGCAAATTAAAAAAAAAACGCAAGAAAAGATTTTCACTCTTACTTCCACTTTACGCAATAGTTACTCCCTTCAACAGAATTATTATTATTATTACATCGGGTTTATATAGCGCCAAAGGGTTTGCTCAGCGCTGTACAATATAGGGGGACAATACATGGCACAGTACAACAATAACAAACAACGTACGAGGGGTAAGAGGGCCCTACTCTTTCGAGCTGACAATCTAGGAGGGAGGGGGTAGTGGTACAGTAGGAAGTGGCTGAGGGGAGTGAAGTGGTGGGAGGAATGAGGGAGAGTGGCTGTTAGGCGAGGGTGGGGTAGGCTTCCCTGAAGAGATGGGTTTTGAGGGAGCGCCTGAATGTGAGGAGGGAAGGCGACAGTCTGATGGATTCGGGCAGTGAGTTCCAGAGGATGGGGGAGGACCTGGAGAAGTCTTGCAGTCGTGCATGGGAGGAGGAGACCAGGGAGCAGGATAGAAGGAGGTCCTGTGAGGAGCGAAGGGTATGGGTAGGGCGGTACTTGGGGATCAGGTTGGTGAGGTAGTCAGGGGCAGTGTTGTGGACAGCTTTGTAGGTCAGGGTTAGAAGTTTAAATTTGATGCGTTGGGCAATCGGGAGCCAGTGGAGGGAGAGGCAGAGGGGGGTGGCAGAGGTGAAGCGGTTGGTGAGGTGAATGAGTCTGGCCGCTGAGTTCAGGATGGTCTGAAGCGGGGAGAGCTTGCACTGGGGTAGGCCGGTGAGGAGGGAGTTGCAGTAGTCAAGGCGTGAGATGATGAGGGAGTGTACTAGAAGTTTGGTGGTGCCTGGGGTAAGGAAGGTATCTTGGCAATGTTGCGGAGGTGGAGCCTGCATGTGTTTGTAAGTGATTTGACGTGAGGTTGGAAGGAGAGGTTCGAGTCAAGAATGACGCCAAGGACCTTGGCTTGCGAGGAGCTCGGTTTTGGAGAGGTTAAGCTTGAGGAAATGTAGAGACATCCAGTCTGAGATGTCGTTTAGGAGGTGAGTGATGCGGGCGGAGAAAGTGTGGGTGAGCAGAGGGGTGGAGAGGTAAATTTGAGTGTTGTCAGCGTAGAGGTGATAGTTGAAGCCGTTGAATCTTCAAGTTGAATCTTCGCATCCAACACGTCCGAGTGCGTCGTATGTCTAGTCCTCTGCCACATGCTGTGGTTTCATCTGCCATGAAGGAGTCCGACACTCTCAGAGGTGCGTTGGATGTCAAAGTTTCTGCTGGAGACCTTGGCTCTTGAACATAGCAAAGATCCATGGAACAGGTGGAGAGACAGGGAAATATAAAAGGTGTTTTCTTACAGTGGGTTGCTGTAAGGGGAGAGCCGGGGCAAAAACAAAAAACCTCTGCAGTATTTCTCAGCAATACATTCACATTTCCATGTTTTATCCCTTGAACTTGAGCCCCAGGCCAATTCTAACATCCCTCTCCTACGTGTAAAAATCTGCATTTTTCTTTTCTAGAAAATGAATGAGAACCCCCAAACAGGGGTGGACTGACCATTGGGGAACTCGGGCCCAGGGTCTGTAGGGGGCCCCATGAGATGTCCCTGGTACCTTTCATAGGCTTTTTTGGGTGTGATTTGAGTGTGCGCCACGACGCAGGGGCCCCATGATCCCCTTTTGCCCGGGGGCCCCATGAGTTGTCAGTCCGCCCCTGCCCCCAAAACATATTTTTTAAGCAAAGGCCCTAGAGAATAAAATGATGGGTGTTGCAATGTTTTATGTCACACGGTTACTGCGCAGAGGTTTTTCAAATGCATGATTTGTGGAAAAAAAATGCACTTTAAAAAAAGGATAAGTTCACCTTTTAACCACTTGCCCTCCAGAGGATTTACCCCCCTTCCTGACTAGGCCATTTCATGCGTTACAGAACGGTGTTATTTTAACTGACCATTGCGCGGTCATGCAACGCTGCACCTAAATTTACGTCCTTTTTTTTCCCCCCACAAATAGAGGTTTCTTTTGGTGGCATTTGATTGCCTGTGCGTTTTTTTTATTTTTTTTTGCTCTCTAGAAAAGAAAAACAAGACCGACAACTTTGAGAAAAAAAACAACAACAACAATATTTTTCCTCTTTTTGCTATTAAAACATGTTCAGTAAGAAAAAAATAAAAAAAAAATATTTCAGCCAAAATGTATTCTGCTCCATGTCTTTGCTAAAAAAAAAAAAAATCCCAATACGTGTAAATTAATTGGTTTACGTGAAAGTTATAGCGTTTACAAACGGCGGTATAGATAATGGGATTTATTTTTCTACTAGTAATGGCGGCGATCAGCAACTTTTAGCAGGACTGTAGCAGACATTCAGACACTGGGGGGGGAAAACTAACTTGGTGTCACCAATACAGTGATCAATGCTAAAAAAAAAAAAAAAAAAAAAAAAAAAAAAAAGCACTGACATTGTACTAATGACATTGGGGAGGAAGTGGTTAACTTGAGAGATGATCAAAGGGTTAACTGTGTGCTGGGAGAGTTTTTACTAGGGGGCGAGGGGTGTGTGCTTCACTGTAAGCACACTGATTGGATGGCTGTACTGTGCAGTGTGCCCGAGCTGACAGGGAGGAAGATTGTTTGTTTTGTTTACAATCTTCCTCCCTGTCGGAGAGGCTCGGTAATCGCTGGGCACCGGTGGGTAATTTCCGTCCGGGACCCAGTGATTGACGTCTGCGGCCGCCCCTACCCAGAAATGCAGAATGACATGTATATACACACACGTGATCCTGCGTACAGTTGCCGCCCTGTAGCAGTATATCTGCTATAGGGCTTTTCTAAAGCGGATAAAGCACCACCAATGGATAATGTAATATACCGTAGTTTGCCGCCGTTCCACGGGCATGCGCAGATTTAATGTGTGACATGTTTGTTATCCATTTACTCAGGGATTTTTTTTTCAGTAAAGACATGGAGCAGAATACATTTTGGTCTAAATTTATGACAAAATTTGAATAAAATTTTTTTTACTGGACATGTTTAATTGCAAAAAATCCAAAATATTGTTATTTTCTAAAAATTGTCGGTCTTTTTTGTTTATAGTGCAAAAAATGTAAAAAAAAATGCAAAGGCGATCAAATACCACCAAAAGAAGTCTCTGTTTGTGGGGAAAGAAAAGAATGTAAAATTTCATTTGGGTGCAGTGTTGCATGACCGTGCAATTGTCAGTTAAAATAACGCAGCGCCATAATGCAAAAAAATGGCCTGGTCAGGAAGTGGGGGGGGGGGGGGGGGGGTCCTCAGGAGGGGTTAACAGCCTTTGCAGGTTACCACTTTATATTTACACGGGAGGTCTGGTGCTAGAACCACTGCTGTCACTCTGACATTCACGGTGATCCCTCGTATGCGTGCGGACCTGCTGTGTACACTTGCCTTTGCACAGTCTCATGGGGGGGATGGGGGTGCTTCAATTTTTTTATTTATTTTTACACTGAATTTTTACATTTTTTTAGTCACTTTTATTGCCATCACATAGAACGAACAACATCCCTAGTGAAAGCACGAGCCACGACAGGTCTTTATGGAGAGATCTGGGGGTCTATGAAACCCCAGCTCTATCCTCTGGCATCCAAAGCAGCAGATAAAACCAAAGATTGGTTTGATCTGCTGATACACAAGCCGGCAAAGATTGTAAACAAAAGGAGTCAAAACTAGAAGTGACAAAATCCTCCTCACTGGTAAAGGCAGCTGCAGCAGGAGAGAAGTGGGACCCCCCCCCCTTCCACCACCTGGAAAAGTAATCCAGGAGCTACTTAGCTGCTAGGACTACTTTTACATGGAAGGGAATCACCGGCCTTAAAAAATTATATCTCGGTCATGATTGAAATATCACCCTTCCAATCCAACAACATACCAGTAGGTCGCTGGTTGTCAAGTGGTTAAAGAAGCTGCATGTTGAGAAAAGGACCGGGGACACGGTGTCATGGGGGAGGGGGGGCGGCACTGGAGGGAAGTCATGGTGACACTGGTGAGAACATTCGGGTGGCAATGGGGTGACATGATTGCACTGGGGGGACAGAATAGTGGCACTGGGGGTACTTACTAATACAATTCTGATGGAGCGCAGTATAACGAAGGTACTATGATGGGGGCTCACCAATGTAAGAGGGGTGGTTACTTGGGCTCCTCACTGACCACTAATGTAAGGAAAGCTTTCCGGTGGGCACATAGACAACCAGTGCTTATTCCCCATCATCAATGACCACACTGCCTTTAAAATTTGACCACATCCTGTAAACCTTTGGTTTCTTTCATGTATTTCAAGCAGATCTCTCCCTCTTTGGGGTTGCCTGCCCCAGACCATGAGATGGTTTCCTCAACACTTACCTGATGGAAGATGAGGGCCTGGCTAATGTAGCCCCAGCTGCTGCTGCCACTTCTGAAGTGGATGGTCCCCAGCAGTAGCAGTAAGAGGACGATGCTGCCCGAGGCGTAGGCTGGGTTTATCAGGAACATCATGACCAGACAGCTCAGGATTCCCAGCAGGCAGGAGTGCCAGGAGAAAAGACGGAATGTTGGACTGTGGAAGAGGTGACATAGGCAGATATCACTACATGAGCAGTTCCAACAGTTAATTACATTTTAATTCTGTACAGTTGAGGAAACAAGAATATTGGTGAACAGAAAGGTAAACAGGAGAGCTCAATGTCATACAATAGCTGCAAAGACAAAGAAAAACCTTGTAAGTCTATAAAAAGTGGAACGAAAGTCCCGCAACAGAGGAAAAGTCACCAGGAAGTAGTGTTTTGTGAAAGACAAGACAAAGTCTCTTCATCCTAGAAACCTGTAGCACTACCCCCGTAGGAGGACAGTGATTACGGTGAACATCCGGTCACATGCCATTAGGAGTTTTCTGTGTTTATTACAGCCGTTCCTAATAAAGCACTTCTGGTGTCACCCGGCCCATCCTTCGCACAGTGGCATTATTTACCGTATGTGCAACACTTGTGACAACCTACTTTGACAGAATTGACTGTTCCTCCTGTCAGAAGAAGCAACTGGCTGATGTTGGGACTGAGAATTCATCTCAGTCTCAGCAGGGGAGAGGAAAGATAAGCTACCTTCCTTACAGGAGGGAACAGCACTTGGTATCTATGAGTACAAGGGGGAGTACAACTCTTATGAATGGGGACATTGTGATGGGGACGCCTGATGTCAGGGGACACCTAATGTAAGGGGCACTTATGGGGACACCTAAAGAATGGGGACAATGATGGGGAGGCACTGTGATGGGGCCACCTAATGTATGGGGGCACTGCGACGGGGATACCTAATGTATGGGGGCACTGCGACAGGGATACCTAATGTATGGGGGCACTGCGACGGGGATACCTAATGTATGGGGGCACTGCGACGGGGATACCTAAGTTATAGGGGCACTGCGATAGGGATACCTAATGTATGGGGGCACTGCGATGGGGATACCTAATGTATGGGAGCACGATGATGGGGATACCTAATGTATGGGGGCACGGTGATGGGGATACCTAATGTATGGGGGCACGGTGATGGGGATACCTAATGTATGGGGGCACTGTGATAGGGATACCCAATGTATGGGGGCACTGTGATAGGGATACCTAATGTATGGGGGCACTGTGATAGGGATACCTAATGTATGGGGGCACTGTGATAGGGATACCCAATGTATGGGGGGGCACTGTGATAGGGATACCTAATGTATGGGGGCACGGTGATGGGGATACCCAATGTATGGGGGCACTGTGATGGGGATACCTAATGTATGGGGGCACGGTGATGGGGATACCTAATGTATGGGGGCACGGTGATGGGGATACCTAATGTATGGGGGCACTGTGATAGGGATACCTAATGTATGGGGGCACTGTGATAGGGATACCTAATGTATGGGGGCACTGTGATAGGGATACCTAATGTATGGGGGCACTGTGATAGGGATACCTAATGTATGGGGGCACTGCGATAGGGATACCTAATGTATGGGGGCACTGCGATGGGGATACCTAATGTATGGGGGCACGGTGATGGGGATACCTAATGTATGGGGGCACTGTGATGGGGATACCTAATGTATGGGGGCACTGTGATTGGGATACCTAATGTATGGGGGCACTGTGATGGGGATACCTAATGTATGGGGGCACTGTGATAGGGATACCTATGCAGACTGGTAGGGGCTCCAGCGCATTATTTTGCCCAGGGGCCCCTGATACTCTTAAGAGGGCATTGGCTCCCACACTTCCTAGCTCCTTCCCAATGGGGGGGATCTTTAGGAGTAGAGCATGCTGATATAGTGGGGGTCTCTCTGATCTAATGGAGGTCTTTAAGGGGGGTTGCTGATTTAAGGGACCACTGAGCTGATGGGGTGGGGGGGGGGTGTCTCTAAGGAGGGGGTTGCTGACCTAATGGTTGGTAACCAACCACTAGATCAGCAGTCAGCACCCCCCTCCTTAGAGACACTCCATTAGATCAGTCTCCTTTTATCAGTGCCCCCCCTTCCCTAAAGAACACCTAATATATCCGAGTCACCTTATATCAGCACCCCCCATTACATCAGTCTCTTTATACTAGCACCCCTCCTCAGAGTGCCCCCCAATTAGAAGTCCTCTTATATACAGTAGGATCCAACTGCTGATCTCTAAGGGGGATCACTAATATAAAGGGGACTCTGAAAAGAGAACTCAATAAATAAAACTTGGTTTGCTGCCATCACTGATACTTGTTCCCACACCTCAAAACCCACAAATGTAAAAACATGCAGCGCACCCCCCCTCCTATAGGTATAGTAACTCATATGTAAAAAAAGAATAGTCAATGATGGTGGAAACCCCCAAGGGTAAGCCAAATATTAAATATGAACTTATTAAAAAATATATACTGTGCAATCTTGAAACACCTAATACTATATGAATAATGGTGGAAACCTCCAATCCATTCCAAAATGTGCTGTGCCAATATCCAACTTATAAAGTCCTTTTGCGGACACTGGATATTAGCACAAAACGCATTTAGGAATGGATTGGAGGTTTCCACCACTATTCATCAAGATTGCACAGTATATATTGATTTGTATGAGATATTTCAGGTACTTGTATAGCACTGTCAGTTTACACAGCACTTTACATATATATTGTACATTCACATCAGTCCCTAACCCTCAAGGGGCGTACAATCTAAGGTCCCTAACCCTCAAGGGGTGTACAATCTAAGGTCCCTAACCCTCAAGGGGCGTACGATCTAAGGTCCCCAACCCTCAAGGGGCGTACAATCTAAGGTCCCCGACCCTCAAGGGGCGTACAATCTAAGGTCCCTAACCCTCAAGGGGCGTACAATCTAAGGTCCCTGACCCTCAAGGGGCGTACAATCTAAGGTCCCTGACCCTCAAGGGGCATACAATCTAAGGTCCCTAACCCTCAAGGGGCGTACAATCTAAGGTCCCTAACCCTCAAGGGGCGTACAATCTAAGGTCCCTAACCCTCAAGGGGCGTATAATCTAAGGTCCCCAACCCTCAAGGGGCGTACAATCTAAGGTCCCCAACCCTCAAGGGGCGTACAATCTAAGGTCCCTAACCCTCAAGGGGCGTACAATCTAAGGTCCCTAACCCTCAAGGGGCGTACAATCTAAGGTCCCTAACCCTCAAGGGGCGTACAATCTAAGGTCCCTAACCCTCAAGGGGCGTACAATCTAAGGTCCCTAACCCTCAAGGGGCGTACAATCTAAGGTCCCTAACTCACATTCATACATACACATACTAGGGACAATTTAGACAGGAGCTAATTCACCTACCAGCATGTCTTTGGAGGGTAGGAGGAAACCGGAGTACCCGGAGGAAACCCACGCAGGCACAGGGAGAACATGCAAACTCCAGGCAGGTGGTGCTGTGGTTTGGATTCGAACCAACGACCCGAGTACTGCCAGACGGAAGTGCCTCCTGTATAGTCCTACACAGGAGGGAAGAGGGTCTGAGGTTTATCCCTCCCCCTCTCTCGACAAGACTTTTTCCCCCACCTTTGAAAAGCAATCTGTGCCGGACTATACCTGATGACTGTTAGTACCTGGGCATTGTGGTTGGGATTCGAGCCAACGACTCTAACGCTGCCAGGCAGAAGTGCTAACCATTTAGCCACTGTGCTGTCCATATATATGTTTGAATAAGATTTTATTAATATTTGGCTTACTCTTTGGGGTTTCCACCATCATTCACAACTATTTCTTCACATATGAATAAATTAAATATATAGTGGAGGACGCACTACGTGTTTTCCAATTGTTATTTTTTTGGGTCTCTAAGGGGAGCACTGATATAAGGGGATTCTGATATAATGGGGGAGGTCTCTAAGGGGGTGGGCATTGATATAAGGGGACTATGATCTAATTAAAGTCTTTATGGGGGGCCCCTGTATTATGAAGGGGGGGGGGAGGTGACATACAAAAAAAAAAAAAAAAAAAAAAAGACTCCCCCTTAGCGAATGGGACTCTCCTCTCCCAGCCCCCTTTAACCCATGTTTCTTCTTTTTTGAAGAAAAGGTGTGTTATGATTTTGATACATAAATGACTAAAGAAATACCACTCAATAAAACAAGTTATGAAACCCCAGCAATTTCCCGGGAACAGAAGCGTCTGCTCTTTACAACAGACCATTTCAAACAAAAGACATGCACAATGGTTGACTGAATACAGATGACCTCAAGAATACAATGAAGTCACACAGACCTGACCGGAGAACATGGCTGGTGTTGACCAAAAGTCATAAATGATCATTGTGAAAACACAACACAATCTGAATTTTGAGCAATAGAACAAGTAAACACAATAAGGGGCCTCGGGTATAGATTTTCCCAAATGACTTTATATACTAAGTAAAGCCTTAAATGGATGTTACAATTGTTCATTCACGGGAAGGATATTATCCTACGAGGGGAACAGTGACACCTATTACTCACAGAGTCCTACTTCTGCTGGAGACCAACTGAATGTTTACCAATGAGCACACAGACACTAGCCCGGCTAATCATACCCTCCTCAGGTGCTTCCATAGACTGTGAAACTATGCAATTCACTTCACCAGGGGGCTAAAGATGGCTTGATCCAGTCCCCCTAAACCAGGGGTGGACTGACAACTCATGGGGCCCCAGGGCAGTAGCGGATCATGGGGCCCGTGTCCTTGCCCACACTCAAAAAAGCCCATGAAAAAGGTACCAGGGGCATTTCATGGGGCCCCCTACTGACTCTGGGACCTCAGGCAGTGCCCGAGTGCTCGAATGGTCAGTCCATTGCCCTAAACCAATACCTACCCCCCTTTCAACCTAAGTAACCACACAGACAAGAACTGGAGTTAATGGCCCAAAACTGACCTTTTATTACAACCATTAATTATTATTATTATTATTATTATTATTATACAGTATTTATAAAGCGCCAATAGTTCGCTCAGCGCTGTACATTACAAAGGGAGACAGAACATGTGACAGAACAATACCAATACAATGCAAAACATGAGGGGATCGAGGGCCCTGCTCCTTGGAGCTTACAATCTATAAATCACACAGTATAACATGTTTTTTTCGAGGTCCCAATAGGCATCAAGAAAACATTTACCTACGTCCTGCTTAACTAGGCCTCCAGCCGCAACACCACCGACTCAGAGACACCACCGCAGATACCCCCAACCAGAACTGGAAACCATTCCTCAGACGTGTTCCTACAAATAGGGGCGGACTGACCATTTGGAAACTCGGGCGCTGCCCGAGGGCCCAGGATCAGTAGGGGGCCCCATGAGATGCCCCTGGTACCTTTTTCATAGGCTTGAGTTTGGGCAAGGACACAGGGGCCCCATGATCCCCTATTGCCCGGAGGCCCCATGAGTTGTCAGTCCGCCCCTGCCTACAAAGTGCCTTTTTGTGCCCTAGTAACCAACGAGGACCTTGCACAACCACCACCAAAAACAAACCATGAAACAAACAGGCGGGCAGGAGGGAAGTCTGACTTGATAAAACTCTCTTCTGACTGAAGACCCTCTGCCACACCCTGTCAGACCACCCCTTGTGGCTCCATCCGCTCCCTCCTTAAAACCACTTAAACTCCGCCCTTAGCTAATGGGACTCTCCTCTCCCAACCCCCTTTAACCCCTGTCATGCTGGCCCTCCGTTCAGGGCTTCTTTCTTCTACTCCGGGTCTCCCTTTATGGGAAACAAGGTCTTCACCTCAGAGAAATACTCAGCAGACATATGCATACTATATATATTACTATGACCACCGGAATCAATTTAATAAATTTTGCAACTACAAAAAAGTATAAAAAGAATTAACCAGATATCAAGTTATACTGACATATGATATGGATTGTGATTTGGGAAGACTGTTTCAGAGATATTAAAGCAAATGATTACCAACAATATGTACCTACATCAGAGTGTGGAGAGACATGGGATATCTGATATGATGGACTGAAGTAACGCATGAGCACCATCTGATAAACCGCCAGAACAAATTATGGGAATACGATCTTAATATCTACCATTTTCATAACACGGGACAAACATAGAAATAGAATTCCCATCTAATAAAGATAAGCCACAAAACCAACTCAAAACATATGGACATTTCCAGAGGGGTATCGAGGAGAGGCACTTTAATATTTCAGCAGGACATATTTTATCAATAATATCATACATAAACTGGGAGATTACTCCTAACCAAGTGATTACATCTTCATTCATGGAACATGACTGCCTCTAGTGGACAGGTAAAGAACCTCCAGAATAAACGGCATTCTTGGCTGTCCAATCGTCATGTACCATGAGTGGATCTAGCAGACAATGGATCTTTACAGCATATACAGTATCTCCCAGAAGCGAGTCCCCCCCTCACATTTTTGTAAACATATTAAATATATCTTTTCATGTGACAACACTGAAGAGATGACACTTTGCTACAATGTGACGTAGTCAGTGTACAGCTTGTATAACATGGAAATTTGCTGTCCCCTTAAAATAACAACACACAGCCATTAATGTCTAAACCGCTGGCAACAAAAGTGACTCCACCCCTAAGTGACAAGGTCCAAATTGGGCCCAAAGTGTCAATATTTTGTGTGGCCACCATTGTTTTCCAGCACTGCCTTAACCCTCTTGGGCATGGAGTTCACCAGAGCTTCACAGGTTGCCACTGGAGTCCTCTTCCACTCCTCCATGACGTCATCATGGAGCTGGTGGATGTTAGAGACCTTGTGCTCCTCCACCTTCCGTTTAAGGATGCCCCACAGATGCTCAATAGGGTTTAGGTCTGGAGACATGCTTGGCCAGTCCATCACCTTTACCCTCGGCTTCTTTAGCAAGGCAGTGGTGGTCTTGGAGGTGTGTTTGGGGTCATTATGTTGGAATACTGCCCTGCAGTCCAGTCTCCAAAGGGAGGGGATCATGCTCTGCTTCAGTATATCACAGTACATGTTGATATTCATGGTTCCCTCAATGAACTGTAGCTCCCCAGTGCCGGCAGCACTCATGCAGCCCCAGACCATGCCACTCCTTCCACCATGATTGACTGTAGGCAAGACACACTTGTCTTTGTACTCCTCACCTGGTTGCCGCCACACACGCTTGACACCATCTGAACCAAATCAGTTGATGTTGGTGTCATCAGACCACAGGAGACGGTTCCAGTAATCCATGTCCTTAGTCTGCTTGTCTTCAGCAAACTGTTTGCGGCTTTCTTGTGCATCATCTTTAGAAGAGGCTTCCTTCTGGGACGACAGCCATGCAGACCAATGTGATGCAGTGTATGGCGTATGGTCTGAGCACTGACAGGCTGACCCCCCACCCCTACACCCTCTGCAGCAATGCTGGCAGCACTCATAGTCTATTTCCCCAAAGACAACCTCCGGATATGATGCTGAGCACGTACACTCAGCTTCTTTGGTGGACCATGGCAAGGCCTGTTCTGAGTGGAACCTGTCCTGTTAAACCGCTGTATGGTCTTGGTCACCGTGCTGCACCTCAGTTTCAGGGTCTTGGCAATCTTCTTATAGCCTAGGCCATCTTTATGTAGAGCAATAATTATTTTTATCAGATCTTCAGAGAGTTCTTCGCCATGAGGTGCCATGTTGAACTTCCAGTGACCAGTATGAGCGAGTGAGAGCGATAACACCAAATGTAACACACCTGCTCCCCATTCACACCTGAGACCTTGTAACACCGAGTCACATGACACGGGAGGGAAAATGGCTCATTGGGCCCAATTTGGACCTTGTCACTTAGGGGTGGAGTCACTTTTGTTGCCAGCGGTTTAGACATTAATGGAGGTGTGTTGAGTTATTTTGAGGGGACAGCAAATTTCCATGTTATACAAGCTGTACACTGACTACGTCACATTGTAGCAAAGTGTCATTCCTTCAGTGTTGTCACATGAAAAGAGAGAATCAAATATTGACAAAAAATGTGAGGGGGGACTCACTTCTGGGAGATACTGTATGTATTTTTTTTTATTTCCTTTACCAATGTGATTTTTTTAATATATATATATATATATATATATATATATATATAGTAAAAAAATCACATTGGTAAAGGAAATAAAAAAAAATTACAGTGTGGTGATAAATTAGTTAAGATGTCTATATTATTGAATATTAGTAAGTTATTTGCCGTAACAGCTGGAGGCACTGCGCTATAATCACATAGGGGAGTCGGACACCGCCCAATTTATTTATAATTAATTATCACAAAAGCACCACAGGTGGCAACCTTAGGCCTCAGGGGATTACAAGTTCCTCTTATCCTCCATCCTCTCTGCATGGCTGCTGCCATAACAATACCACCTGGGATGGATGGGAGCTGAACGCCATGTACAATATCGCCATTTTAAAGGACAGCTTCCTGTTGTCACTGGTCGTGAAGGAAGCCAGAGGGTGCAAACACTAGCAAGAACTTAACAGCTAGTAACCTCACCAGCATCGGCCATGTAAAATGGCCAGAGCTATTTATTAAAATTTGGCTCCAGTTGACTTCCATTGGGTTCCGATTTGGCACCTGCTCACGTTTGGCAAACCCTGTTCGAAACAGAGCCCAGTTCTGTTCGGCTCATCTGTAGTTTTTTAAACCCATTTTACTAAATGTTGTAATCTGTAAACCACATTTCATTGCTATAAGCTTTTCATGATAACGTATCCTCCAGAAGAATATATTCAAACGACAATTCTCTGGGGTAGGTACGCTGCTTTGCAGGGTCTCCATGGAGCCTCAACATGGCCACTCCCAGATGGGACTACAGCCACACAAAGAGAGCTGCTCCACCTAGCAGCTCATGATTGACAGCTGGTTGCCCAATATGCACCCAAAGGATCATGGGACATATAGTCCAGATGTCAGGGATTTAGTTGATCCCACTGTGTGTGTTCGCTGACCAAGAAGTTTGAGGAATCTCTACGAATGAAAGTCATGGGCACCAGTATAAAAGATGAAGCCACTCCTATTGTAGTAACAACTTTGGGAATACCAGGTAAAACTCCAAACATGGACTTGAGGAAAACAAACCTTTAATTCACCAGCTGGTTTGACCTAGCCAGACTCATGTTTGCAAAGCAAAGTGCCTTCAAAAGCCTCTTACATGGTGTATGTACCAACAATTACGTCACAATGCATATATTTCCTCTCTCACTTTCTGTACATTCAAAAGACTTTCTAAACAGTGCAGTATATGGCCTTGAGTACCAGCTACAGACTGGGACACATTACTTCACAGGAAAAAAAGGGGGGGGGGGGGGGGGATGAGCTGATAACTTTGCTTTTGCCAACAGAGGCTGTTAGAAATGTTAACGTTAAAAAGGAAGCTCTGCAATATCTGGGTGCTGCCACACTATGACCTCTGCAAACCTCAACTCCAGCTCTCAGGTGCCCACCCCCCTTGGATCCATTCCTCCCACACATGATTCTGACAAGGTTCTGGAATCTCACATCACTTTTGAGAAGTAAAATCAACTTCATTGTTCAGCACAAGGACTGACACTCCACCCAGTATCCTCCCTCTAACATGATTAACCCTCTAATGGGGCCTAATCATAGAGCAGCTAAAAATCAGCTCTAGGACTTAAACCCATGAGGGGACGAAACATGTTAGAGGGAGGATCCTGGATGGAGTGTGTCAATATTTGTGCTGAACAATCAAATTGATTTTACTTCTCATAACTGGTGTGAGAGTCTAGAACTTTGTAGAATAAGGCAGCCCATCGATTTAAAATGTGTTTCCAGCTCACAGCAACTTGCTGTGGCATTTTTTAGTAAACTGCACCACAAAAGGTGATGTAAAAAAAAAAAAAAAAAAAAAAATGTATCCAAGGTCACTTTTTATGTGCTAGCTTTCCTTTAAGGGAGCAAGGAAAAAAAAAAAAAAAAAAAAAAAAAAAAATACTCCGAAGGGCACTTACCGGAAGTTTGGTGCAGATGCCCACTCAAGGGCCAGGCAGGCCAGGTCTATTGCTGCATACGCCATGAGGTAGAAGACGGTGACAATGCCAGCTATGGTGTTTAGTTTTCCCGCTAACAAAACAAGCTGAAAAGAAAGATTGAGAAGAGGTCACCACAAAAATAATTCAATGGAGGTCTACATTTTAAAAGTCATCTCCAACTAAAATTGATATTTCAAAATTTTGCAGCAGACAGGTATCTTCACCAGGTCAAGTAAATATAATAGCCATTACAAAAAAAACTTACCATTGTGGGAGGGGCAAAGACACAAACTACCACAGGAAATTTCCCCATTGTGGGAGGGGCAAAGACAAACTACCACAGGAAATTTCCCCACTGTGGGAGGGGCAAAGACAAACTACCACAGGAAATCTCCCCATTGTGGGAGGGGCAGAGGCACAACCTACCACAGGAAATCTCCCCATTGTGGGAGGGGCAGAGGCACAACCTACCACGGTAAATTTCCCCATTGTGGGAGGGGCAGAGGCACAACCTACCACAGGAAATCTCCCCATTGTGAGAGGGGCAGAGGCACAAACTACTGCAGGAAATCTCCCCATTGTGGGAGGAGCTGAGACACAAACTACTAGAGGAAATCTCCCCATTGTGGGAGGTAGCATTGATACAAACTATTGCAGGAAATCTCCCCATTGTGGGAGCGGCAGAGACACGAACTATTACAGGAAATCTCCCCATTGTGGGAGGGCAGAGACACAAACCAGCAGGGCAGAGACTACGAATGAGGGGTAATAGAAGCATTCTTCTATATTACATTATCACCTAGTATGAATGATCATTCATTCAATTCTACTAGGCGGGTCTTTAACATGGGGTAAAAGGGGCAGCTGCCCCGGGCCCAGTCCTTATTGTGGGGCCCAAATCAGCTGCCCCTTAGGTCCGCATTGCCTGCAAATAGTTTTCCTGGCTTTTGCTTATATAGTTTTACTATGCGATGCTGTGCGACATGGCTCCTCCAATCTTCCCCTCCGCACACTGTCTCTTGGAGTCCTCTCCTTCTCTTTGCCCTATTCGTTCATGGTAAAAGCCAGCACATTGGCCTGCACAGAGCCTGCCCCTAACCCCCACCCACGTTGTTTCCAGCAGCATGGCGTACATGGAGTGTGCCCCGTTTTCACCACTGGGCTTGGGATGCCCAGGAGGGATGATCCGTCTTTCGCACCTTCTTCTTCCTGCATGATATGATTGGTGCAAAGGCAAATCCTTGTCACAGCACGGGGGTGGGCACATAGCTACGAGTTCACATGCACTGTACCTGTATTAGAAAAGGGGGTATCAATGCTGGGGGTATCTTGGATGACCATAGTATTAGAGGCATCAGGGGGCATAGAGGGGTCACAGTGCGAGGCACATCAGGAAAATAGAGGTCACAGTTTGGGGGTATCAGGGATTTAGTGAGGTCACACTACAAGGAGTATCTTCTAGAGTGCATATGGTAACAGTGCTGGGGGAATATCTAGGGTGCATCTGGGGTGTAGAGAGGTCAGAGTTGTTTGGGAGGATATCTGGGGTGTAGAGGGGTTACACTAATGAGGGTATCTGGGGTGTAGAGAGGTCAGAGTGCTGGGAGAATATCTGGGGTGTAGAGGGGTTACAGTAATGAGGGCATCTGAGGTGTGTGTAGGAGGGGGGGTCACAGAGCAGGGATGTAGAGGGACCACAGTGCTGGGAGGATATCTGGGGTGTAGAGGGGTTACAGTGATGAGGGTATCTGGGGTGTGTGTATAGGGGGGGGGGGGGGTTCTGAACACGGATGTAGAGGGTCCACAGGGATGGTGGGGGTATCTGGGGTGTAGAGATGTCAGAGTGCCGGGAGGATATCTGGGGTGTAGAGGGTTACAGAGCAGGGATGTAGTAGAGGGACCACAGTGCTGGTGGGATGTGTGAGGTGTAGAGGGATACAGTGATGAGGGTATCTGGGGGGTGTGTATAGGGGGGGGGGGGTTCCGAGCACGGATGTAGAGGGTTCACAGGGATGGGTGGGGGTATCTGGGGTGTAGAGGGGTTACAGAGCAGGGATGTAGTAGAGGGACCACAGTGCTGGGGGGATATGTGTGGTGTAGAGGGATACAATGATGAGGGTATCCTTTTCTGAAATCACTCCCTTGCTGGCTCTCATTACTGCAAAGATTTGTAACTGGCAAATGAGCAAAGACAGAGTGCGATGTTACTGGCCCTGCTAGTGATTCCATGAGACTGGCAGGAAGTCTTTTGGAGATCTTGGCCTTGGTGCCAACCCCGCCCTTGGTGCCAACCTCGCCCTTGTAACATACTCAGACTAACAGTGGAAAGCCAATTCTGCCTCCATTATGTTACAGGGCTTCCAGCTCAACAAGTCTTCACTTCTGCTCCTGGTGTGTTTGACTACTGGCTACCACATGCCAAAACCATGTGGAATAAGGTCCTGTGGGCTCCAGAATGTCAACAAAAAGGACTTGTCAGGACTTGTTCAAAATTGAAAAATCTCTGTGCCAATGAGCAATTGTTCTCATTTTTCCAACTGTCACCATCCAGGCTGAAGAGGTAAGTAGCAGTGTTTATGGCACGTTTATGGCACACCTTTGAGACCACATTCTTTCCACCTTGGCTGAGTATAGGTGCTGGACCAATGCCTTTAAAAATGTTTCCTGTTCACCATTAACCCATGCATGTCCGGACACTTTCACCCCCTTCCCCTGTCCAGGCCAATTTTCAGCGCCATCAGCGCAATGACAATTGCGCGGTCGTGCAACACTGTACCCATATGAATTTTTTAGCATTTTTTTGAGACAGATAAAGCTTTAATTTTGGTGGTATTTATTCACTGCTGGGATTTTTATTTTTTTTGCTATATAAATGAAAAAGTCCAAAAATTTTGAAAAAAAGTGTTTTTCTTATAACATTTTGCAAATAAATAATATTTCATCATAAATCTTGGCCAAAATATATTCAAGTATCTTTTTAGTAAAAAAATAAATAACTTAAAATTAGTTTATAACCAAAAATTATAGTTTTTAAAAATGTTTTTACATTTTTATATTGTTTGTTTTTTTTTTTTGTTTTTTTTACATACTGTCACCCTAGCAGTAGTGTCACCATGGTGACACTGTACTATTTGTGGGGGGGGGTGATGACATTTTTTTTTTTACATTGCTTTTACACCCATAAGGGCTGTAAAAGCAATCATTTCTCCTCTTCTCTGGCTGCATTCTTGCAGCCATTGAGAAATACTGTGAGAGCTGTGATTGGTCACAGCTTGTCACATGGTACAAGGCTGTTGTGAATAGCCCTGTACCATGTGATCTCTGTGATCATTCACAGATTTCACACGTAGTAAGCAATGATGTCAGAGGAAGCGACATCTTGCTCACTACTCTGCATGTGATCACTGATTGGCCAATCAGTGATCACATGATTTGGACCTCGCACAGAGGTCCTGTATGACGATCGGTGTTCCAATGTGTCCGGATTGCGGTGCTGCACGCTCCCAAGGAGCGCGCACAAGCAGGGGGGCAGGGAGGCCGTTTATAAACAGCCACCCGACCCTACACTGCCACCGTCTGGCCATTCATTTACAATGGCCGGATGGGAGGTGGTTAAGAGAAAAAAAAAAAAAAAAAAAAAAGGCGTTGGAGAAGGGGGGGGGGGGGGGGGTGAGTGGGGGAAATCAACCCACCCACTGAACAGAGGTTTTTTGCCCTCTGATGCTTGAAGTGTTATCACCATTAGAGTAACCCTGAACCCCCATGGCCTGATTGTAGCAATAGAAGGTCAGATGTGTCATATTACTTTACAGAACAAACAACATGAAACACGGAAGAGGAGCTCACCTGCACCAGGGCCCAGGTATAGAGGACAGCTCCCCAGGGGTTTCCTCCCTTGGAGACCAGCTTGGCAGGTGCTAGAAGGAATTCCTAAAAGACAAAATTATGTTCAAAACAAGGGACACAGATGAATTATATAGGTAGAGTCAGCAGGGTACCTAACATATTTGACATCTGGAGAATAGGGACACACAAGGTTAAGATGTCCCATCCAGACCATCAGTCAAACAGGGACCTGCAGATATGAGGTTATGTTGTCCTATCCAGACCACCCATCAATCAGGGATCTCCAGATATGAGGTTATGTTGTCCTATCCAGACCACCCATCAATCAGGGATCTCCAGATATGAGGTTATGTTGTCCTATCCAGACCACCCATCAATCAGGGATCTCCAGATATGAGGTTAAGATATTCCATTCACGCCGCTGTTAAACCAAGGCCTACAAATATGAGGTTTATAATGTTCCATCCAGACTGATGCCAAACTGGGACCTGGAGATAAAACTTATGATGTCCCATTTAGAGCATTGTCAAACTAGGACCTGCAGATATAAGGTAAGACAGGGCTTAAAATGTCAAGTCCTGAGCTACTAGCCAGGACTTAAGAGTTACTTGCCACCAGTTGCCCCACCCAACCCCTACCCTGCTACACCCCTACCTACTATCCAACCCAGCAATACCTCAAATGCCCCCATACTCACCCACCCATAATAACCACATCATCCTGAACCCGACCCAAACCACCCCATACATGTAGGTTTACATACAGACATATGTACATACACACACACACACACACACACACACGTACACACAGAGACACATGTACACACACACACACACACGTACATGCATACACAAACACACACAGATACATGTACACACACATCCCTATAAAAAGTTGCAGTACTTCGTTACCATCACTCACAGAGCTGGGTACTGCACTCTAGGGGGAGGCAGAGAGCATAGCACACACTCCTTCCTTTGCTTTCACTTTGCTCAACTATTGAGCAGTCCGACGGCTCCCAGTGCGAGTGACAGATCCGGCCTGAGGTCTGAGCCTGCTCAGCAAAGCGGCCCTGGAGACACACTCGCCCACACCATAATTTCCACTCGCCAATGCGAGCAGGCGAGTGCAAATTTCAAGGCCTGTGGTAAGATGTCTCAACCAGACTACCAGTCAAGCCGGGACCTGCAGATAGGAGATTAACATTGAAAACAACTCCCAAACCAGAAGCTGCAGATATAAGGTTAACGTGTCCCATCCAGACCACTGTCCAGTCCAGACCACTGCCAAACTGGGACCTACAGATATGAGGTTAAGATGTCCAGTCCAGTACACTGTCAAACTGGGAGCTGCAGATATAAGGTAGGATGTTTTCATCCAGACCACTGTTAAACCGACACCTGTAGATATGACGTTAAGATGCCCATCCAGACACACCTGCCAAAGTAACCCATAGACATGAGAGCAGCTCACTCACTCCCCAAGGCCCCTGCTGTCAGGGTTATCAGAGAGTTGAAGAGGAAGTCTTTCACTATTCACTTCCCTATAGCTCTGAAGTGTTGCATGCATTGATATTGGCTCTTGTGAACTTGATGGGTGGCTGTCATTCTGGAGGAGTGGGCATTCCTAGGGAGGCTGAACTTGCATGAAGGCCACCCAAGCTAAATTCTGTATTCAGTGCGGAGCCTCCATGATTGAACTGAATTCCAATGAATGAAAAGGGCTGGGCCAAGGACACAGGCCCAGAGAGAAAAGAGCTAGATGATGCTTGGCATCCTCCAGTCAAGAAATGAAGATGACTAGCTTCAGCTCCTAATGAGGCTTGCAAGAAAGGTTTACTTTTTTCTCTCAATCTTATGCAGCAAGAAAAAAAAAAAAAAAAAAAATGAATGCCCCCCCCCCCCCCCCCCCCACATATAAAAATAAACCTCTTACCAAACAGGTCATCCTTGGCCAGGGCATACAGGATGCGAGATGCCCCAATCAGGGTGCTCATAGAGGCAGACAGAGATGTGGCGTACACCCCGATTAAGACAAAAGGTGGCCAAATGTTGATGGGCCGGAAGAATCCATAGTCCTCTCTCAGGAGAGTTCTAATGGGGTAGAAGAAGATAACATGTAATTAGAACATTTTAGTAAATCCACCAAGATTAGAGAGACACAGCAAAGGCAGGAGAAATGTGGGTGTACAGTTGGATAAATGGTTCTATATTTAGGACGTATCCGGTCTATAAACCAGAGGCTCTGATTGGACGGTTGGATAAATGGTTCTATATTTAGGACGTAACCGGTCTATAAACCAGAGGCTCTGATTGGACGGTTGGATAAATGGTTCTATATTTAGGATGTATCCGGTCTATAAACCAGAGGCTCTGGATGGACAGTTGGATAAATGGCTCTATATTTAGGATGTATCTGGTCTATAAACCAGAGGCTCTGGATGGACAGTTGGATAAATGGCTCTATATTTAGGATGTATCCGGTCTATAAACCAGAGGCTCTGGATGGATGGTTGGATAAATGGTTCTATATTTAGGATGTGTTCGGTCTATAAAACCAGAGGTCTGGATGGACAGTTGGATACATGGCTCTATATTTAGGATGTATCCGGTCTATAAACCAGAGGCTCTGGGTGTACAGTTGGATAAATGGTTCTATATTTAGGATGTGTTCGGTCTATAAACCAGAGGTCTGGATGGACAGTTAGATAAATGGCTCTATATTTAGGATGTATCCGGTCTATAAACCAGCGACTCTGGCTGTACAGTTGGATAAATGGCTCCTTATATATGTGGTTATGTGCTTGGTTAGAGAAAGAGAGGATTTAGGACACTGTACTGCAGTGCTTTCTGTGTCTTCAGGCTTATTGGGTTAACACTACTACACAACTACTAACATCTCCATCCACCAGGCGGAACTGACAAGCAGAAAGTGTTCAAGCAATTCATAGTTGGCAGCTCAGAATTATGGGAAATGAAGGTCAGGAAAGAAACTTTATTATAGTGGTTAATGGACTTTTGGACCATAATTCCCAATGCAAGCTGGGTATAAAGGGAGAGAGCTGTATTTATCACAGGCTGAACATTGAGGGACTCTCTTTTTGCTGCAATGATACTGAGGTGTGTGCACAATAAATATGCCACAAGTCTCTGGCCATATGTTAAGGACCAGAGCTCCAGGTAGATGCAGAAATGAGCTTACTTCTAAACAGTGGGACCCCAGTTGCTATATAACTGGGACTGGTGAGAGAACACTGCTGACATTTGCCGTTAACAGAGACTGAACACATAAGAGCTAGCCATCTAACTAGCAGCATTATTTACTACATGCAGACTTCCTGTGCACCACTGTACAGACTGGGCCCCAATGCTAGCCAGCTGAAAAACTAAAGCTAAAGACTGCTCACTCTGAAGCTGCTTCACAAGAACCTTGTCTGTTGTCCGTAGTAAGGGGTGCTAAATTTCATCGCAGACATTCATATATAGGGAGTGCATGCTAAAGTGATTATAGCCAACTGTTTACAGAGGAGTTATCGCAGTACTATTGCTGTTACTGTGTTCTAATGCCAATACCTATTTCTGATTTTGTGGATTACCAGCTTTACTCAAATTTAGCTTTATATAACTCCATTCTGTACCGCTATGATGAACATATTGTCTAGTGAACTGTGATTGACCTACTCCCTCATTTATGTGCATACTTCCATTTCATATATTGGGTTAATTTACCATTATTATTTCAGGTACTTACATAGCACTGTCAGTTTACGCAGCGCTTTACATATATATTGTACATTCACATCAGTCCCTAACCCTCAAGGGGCGTACAATCTAAGGTCCCTAACTCACATTATACATACACATACTAGGGACAATTTAGACAGGAGCCAATTCACCTACCAGCATGTCTTTGGAGTGTGGGAGGAAACCGGAGTACCCGGAGGAAACCCACGCAAGCACAGGGAGAACATGCAAATTCCATGCAGGAGGTGCCATGGTCGGGAATTGAACCCATGACCCGTTTACTGCAAGGCAGACGTGCTAACCATTAAGCCACTGTGCCGCACCATGAACCAGTCTGATGTTTGCTTTTTGGTACTGAACCTTAAGGTGGCCATACCCAGTACAATCTGATTCTACAATCCCCTGGATGAACAGTTAGATAAATGCCTCTATATTTAAGATGTATCTGCTCTTTAAAAAGCAGAGGCTCTGGATGGACAGTTAGATAAATGCCTCTATATTTAAGATGTATCTGCTCTTTAAAAACCAGAGGCTCTGATTGGACGGTTGGATAAATGGCTCTATATTTAGGACGTATCCGGTCTATAAACCAGAGGCTCTGGATGGACGGTTGGATAAATGGTTCTATATTTAGGATGTATCCGGTCTATAAACCAGAGGCTCTGGATGGACAGTTGGATAAATGGTTCTATATTTAGGATGTATCCGGTCTATAAACCAGAGGCTCTGGATGGACAGTTGGATAAATGGTTCTATATATTTAGGATGTATCTGGTCTATAAACCAGAGGCTCTGGATGGACGGTTGGATAAATGGTTCTATATTTAGGATGTATCTGGTCTATAAACCAGAGGCTCTGGTATGGACAGTTGGATAAATGGTTCTATATTTAGGATGCATACGGTCTATAAACCAGAGGCTCTGGATGGACAGTTGGATAAATGGCTCTATATTTAGGATGTATGTGGCCTATAAACCAGAGGCTCTGGATGGACAGTTGGATAAATGGTTCTATATTTAGGATGTATCTGGTCTATAAACCAGAGGCTCTGGGTGGACAGTTGGATAAATGGTTCTATATTTAGGATGCATACGGTCTATAAACCAGAGGCTCTGGGTGTACAGTTGGATAAATGGTTCTACATTTAGGATGTATGTGGCCTATAAACCAGAGGTCTGGATGGACAGTTGGATAAATTGCTCTAGAATTTAGGATGCATCTGGGATTTGTGATGGACTCAGTAAATCTCTATACCTTCTGTTGTAAGAAAGTTCTTTTGGGATTTGCAATAGTTTGGTGGAGTTTTTCTTACCTGTCACAGGTAAGTGCCGCTAGTATGAAAAGGATCAGGTAGACGAAGAATGTGATGATGACCGCGATTATTGTCCCCAGAGGAATAGCGCGACTTGGCTGCTTCAACTCCCCTGTGAAAATGGACAAGGTTTTAGATTGTATGTTCATCAGATTTCTGTTGTTGATTTTCCCCAACCCTTGTTACGATGTCTCAAGGAATAAAACCTGAATTGGTTGGAGAGCAAGGTTTTAGAAGATCTTATATTTTGCCTGGAGTTCATTTTTAAGATATAGGGTTATCGTCAGATTTAACTGCTGTACAGCCAAAACTATTGTTCCATTTCGGATGGAGTAAGGAAGGGTTTTTACCGCCTGCTGTCTGTGTGCCATGGGGAATATTTCCAATCACTTCCTGACCTAGAGACACAATGGCATATGGAAACCCTTCCTATACAGCTGCCACAGATGCCTCCCTCCGCTTGTAAAATTGAGACCTCCCATCACTTTTTGTGTCATCAAAACAAATAGAGAGGGTTAAACATCCAGGCAGTCGTTACCCTTTGCCACTCCATCCAAAAAAAAAATATAGCTTGGCTTTAGATAAATGTTGAGCCTTCAGCTAAGGAAGTATTATATTTCCTTATTAAGTGACATATCAGCATGGACGTCACTCCACATCCTCAAACTCAATCTTTCCAAAAAACGGAGCTCATACTATTCCTTCCAACCTGTGCCCCCTCCCCTGACTTCTCCATCAAGATCAATAATACAACCATCAGTCCCTTCCCTCCCATCAGTCCCTCCCATCTGTCCTTTCAGCCCCAAATCCAATCACTGTCCAAATCTTGTAGACTTCACCTCCGTAACATCTCCAAGATATGCCCGTTCCTAACCTCGGAAACCACTAAGCAACTTATTCACTCCCTTGTTATCTCTCGCCTTGACTATTGTAACTCCCTCCTCATTGGCCAACCTCATTGCAGGCTATCCCCTCTTCAGTCTATCACAAATACTGCTGCCAGACTCATCCACCTTACTAACCGTTCCGTATCTGCCATCCCTCTCTGCCAATCCCTCCACTGGCCTCCACTTAGTGTCCTCCACCCCTCTCTGCCAATCCCTCCACTGGCCTCCATCCCGCTCTGCAAATCTCTCCACTGGCCTCCACTCAGTGTCCTCCATCCCTCTCTGCCAATCCCTCCACTGGCTTCCCATTACTCAACAAATAAAAGTCAAAATTATTAATAACATATAAAGCCATTTATAACTCTGTCCCAAATGACATCACCAATCTCGTCTCCAAATATCACCCAAACAGTCCTCTGCACTCCTCCCATGACCTCCACTCCTCCCATGAACTCCTACTATCTAGCTACCTTGTCTCCTCCTCCCATACTCATCTCCAGGACTTCTCCAGAGCCTCCTTCATCCTCTGGAACTCTCTACCCCAGTCTATCCGACCATCGCCTACTCTGCTCACTTTTAGGTGATCCCTGAAAACCTCTCTTTTCAGGGAAGCCTATCCTGCCTACAGCTAATAACGGAATCTTCTATTTCTCCTATCATTTCATCCCCCACAGTTATTACCTTTTGTACCAATAACCCCCCCCCCCCCCTTAGATTGTAAGCTCCAAGGATCAGGGCCCTCCTAACCCTCTTGTATTGATCGGTATCGTTGCTGAATTGTCTCCCTTTATATTGTAAAGCTCTGGGCAAACTGTTGGCACTATATAAATCCTGTATAATAATAATAATAATAAATTATAATGTGCTATTCTGCTGCTCTGCACAGTCTGAACTACTAAGTGGAAGCAAATCTCATCTTCCAGCAATGTTTGCTCTTCCCTAATAACAGATACAAGTCTGTGGACACCTGAACATCTCATCTATATGAACTTGATGGGTCTCCCATTGCAAAACCATGGCCATGAATATGAAGTTGGCCTACGTTGGTTGTCCAATCTTCTGTGAAGGCTTTCCAAAGATATTATAGTGAGCCTACAGGTATTTTTTGCCCATTTGTGAGGTCAAATACTGAGGTTACATGTACTGGGAATATGATGCACTTCAAATGGTACTCAGTCAAATGTAAGCAAGTGCTGCAATGATGGAAAAAAAATAGATGGCGCTGCTGTCGAGTGTCTCCAATGCGATCCCCAGCACATTGTATTCTCCAGATAGACACTTATTCATAAGAGCAATGTTGCAGAGCCCAGCATAAGCTAACTCACTGTCTGCCCAGTGAAGGAGCTCATGAAGGGTTTCAAAATGTTGCTTTTACTTATATGTGTGTCTGTTTTGGAGCATACAGTGCGATGGGGATTTACTACTATTAAGCTCTGGTTCACACATATGCGATTCTGGATGCATTTTCAAACACCGAGATTTGCATGACAGGCTAGGTATGTGTTCCTAGGTGGTTCACACTGATGCGATCCACAGGTATTGCGTTTTGAGTGCAAATCCAAACAGCGTCCTGTGCAAGTTTGGTGCTGTGCATTCGAGACTTGCAAGTAATAGAGTATAGTGACATGTGGAGGTCAGCATTCACAAATTATTGCGATTGACAGGTGTTTTTTTTAAATGAAGTCAAGTCAGTGGAAGGCGACTTTGCGCTGAAGTCAGTGGAAATGCAGAAGCCAAAAATTACACTCAAATCGCAATGCTATTCACAAAGAAAACACATGCATAAATCGCAATGTGATTTCAGCACACATGTGAACCCAAGGTGAAGCTACGAATGTTGGATGGGAAGACCTGACTCAGAGTTGGCATTCCAATTTATTGCAAAGGTATTCAATAGGATTGAGGTCGGGGCTTTGTGAAGGCCACTCAAGTTCCTTCTCACAAAACTCCTCAAACCATGTCTTTATGGAGCTGGTTCCACTCTTCTGGTAAGGCATACATTTTGGAGTGTGTCTGTGGGACTTTTTGCACAGTCAAAAGGATATATTTGTGAGGTCAGGTACTGTTGTTGCAAGAAAAGACCTAGATCACCACCAGCATTGCATTCTAACTTATTTCACTTAACACTTAAGGTGTTCAATAGGGTGAGGTCAGGAATCTGAAGGCCACTCAAGGTCCTCCACACCAAACTGGTCAAACTATGTCTTTATGGAGATATTGGTCGAAAAGACCTGGCCCATTCCAGTTCATCCCAAAGGTGTTCAGTAAAGTTGAGGTCAGGGCTCTGTACAGGCAACTCAAGTTCCTCCACAACAAACTGGTTAAACCATGTCTATAAACCTGGCTCCTATCTTCTGGGAAGGCTTCCCACAAACTTCTGGAGTGAGTCTGTGGAAGTTTGTGTCAAATCAGCCAAAAGAACATTTGTGAGGTCAAGTACTGATATTGGATGATTCAAAACCAGCATTTCAATTAATTCCCCAGTTTCTCATTCGAGTTGAGGTCAGGACTGTGGGTAGGTCTCCAGAGATCCTCCACACTAATCCGGGCAAATTATGCCTTCGTAGAACTGGCTCCACTTATCTGGGAAGGCTTTCCACAAATCTATGGAGTGCGTCTGTGTGAATTAGTGTACAGTCAGCTAAATAAATATTTGTGAGGTCAGGCAGTGATGTTGGATGAGAAGATCTGGCTCCCAATTGGTGTTCCAATTCATTCAAAAAGGTAGAGTAAAGTTTAGGTGAGGGATCTGTACAGGACACTGAAGTTCCTCCACACCAACCTGATCAAACTATGTCTTTATAGAGCTGGCTTTACACACAGGTACAGAAAAAGGACCTGGTGGAACAGAAAAGGACCTTCAGGTAGGTGTGATGATCAGGTGTCCTCATGCTTTTGGACATTAACTCTAAAGCCGGCCATAGATGTTGCGATTTTCTTTCCTGAAACCATGGGAATTCCTCCCGTGGAAATGTTGCGTTCTCCCTGCAGGGAGGTGTGGGGGAGCTGTCCCTGCCAGGCGAACACAGTGATTATTACCAGTGGCTATAGTCACTGGCAATAATCGCATGAAGAATCCAACAATGAAATTGGGTACCACCAGCCTGCCCATAGATGGTTTGAATCTCAGCCAGTCCCCGCTCTGAACCGACTATCTATGGTCTTCATTACAAGGACAGGCTCCTCTTCTGGGTATAATCCGGCCCACCAGGCCATTCAGGTGGCCCTCACATCTCTGCTGCAGCTATGCTGTTCTGTCCTCCCCCAACTTGTCTCAGCAATCAGCAGCAGAAAAAAAAAAACAGAACTCCTCCACCGGATCCTGAGCTTCTCTGTGCAGCCGCAAAGCAGCCCTCATCTCAGCAGTCAGCAGCAGAGAGGACGAGAGAACTCCTCCCACAGATCCTGCACCTGCTGCAGCACCCCCTTGTCTCCACCTGCCCTGGTCTCAGCATTCAGTAGACTCTGGCAGCTGACTCTAGCCCTCCTGTAGTCCTCCTCCAGACCCTGCATTTTCGACTTCCCAGCAGAAGACAAAGTAAGAGGGGGGAAGGGGGGGTGTACTGTGATGTAAGGGAGGATGGGGGACTCTTGACTTCTGATGGTGGGGGAGGCTCTTGACATCTTATGTAAGGAGTGTTCTGGACATTCAGACTTGCAGATACAACTGGCCCTTTGAGGACAACCATAATGCCGATGTGACCCATGATGAAACTGAGTTTGACACCCTTGTTCTAGAGCAGGGGTGTGCAACTGTGGCCCTCCAGCTGTTGTAGAACTACAAGTCCCACGAGGCACTGCAAGCCTGACAGTTACAAGCATGACTCCCAAAGGCAGAGGCATGATGGGACTTGTAGTTCACCAACAGCCGGAGGGCCACAGTTGCCCACCCCTGCTCTAGAGGGTTCAATGAACATCTAATGGTGGTTACTTTTTTTGGTTTCCCACAAAGGGGAAGATTCTAGTCATACAATCTAATGCGGTGACTTACCGGACATGTTACACCCCGCCATGATACCGGTGCAGCCATTGAACATCACAGCAAACACAATGGCAAAGTTCATGAGGTTACCAGTGGTATAATCCAGAGAATACTCCGCTGGGAAAGAGACAAGATAGGAAATCCACCATTTCAGAAAAAACTTATACAGGGGGGCAAGGCGTCACACAAGGGGGCAAGGCGTCATACAGGGGGGCAAGGCGTCACACAGGGGGGCAAGGCGTCACACGGGGGGGCAAGGCGACACACGGGGGGGCAAGGCGTCACACGGGGGGGCAAGGCGTTACACGGGGGGGAAAGGCGTCACACGGGGGGGCAAAGGCGTCACACGGGGGGGCAAGGCGTCACACGGGGGGCAAGGCGTCACACAGGGGGCAGGGCGTTATTCAACATTTTATTTCCCCAAGCTAAAGTTTCATCTGCTTATATTTTGCCTGCCCTGGTTTCTGCCCCCCACCAATCAACATGCTAGCGACATTTTTTTTTAAAATACAAACTTTCAGCCAGACCCAATGATAAGGGACACTGTACCCAACACAATTCCCAAAATGTATTTCTCTCCTGTCCCCAGTTGTAGGTACTGGGTCTGGGCGTATGAGGGGTTCCCACCATCCCTGTGTGGAGTTACCGGGTCTGTACACCTGCGGTGCTCATTATGAGATGTTCCCACAATCCCTGTGCCGAGTTCCCAGGTCTGCACACCTGCGGTGCTCATTATGAGATGTTCCCACCATCCCTGTGCCGAGTTCCCAGGTCTGCACACTCTCTGTGCTCATTATGTAGAAATCCCACTTTCCCTGTGCTGAGTTCCCGGGTCTGTACACCCGCTGTGCCCATTATGAGAGATTCCCACCATCCCTGTGCTGAGTTCCTGGGTCTGTACACCCGCTGTGCCCATTATGAGGTGTTTCCGCCATCCCTGTGCTGAGTTCCCAGGTCTGTACACCCGCTGTGCCCATTATGAGGGGTTCCCACCATCCCTGTGCTGAGTTCCCAGGTGTGTACACCCGCTGTGCCCATTATGAGAGCTGAGTACCATCTAGGAGCGGAGTTCCCCAGTTTGTATTCCTGCTGGGCATAGAACATCTCCATTAAACAGTGTGGAAACCTTAACTTGGAACAAATCCACAAAAGGATTAAAGCTGAGCTCTAGGCAAATATATATATATATAAAAAAAGAAGATAAAATAATGCAGCTCTGTATTTATGAATAAAATCATCACAGTTGTTTTTAATACAAGAAGTGTCATACAAGTACCTGCATTAGCATCAGACACTTGCATTGCAAAGAGCAAATCAGTTGTACTGCAGTGCCATGTGCTACCAATTGACATGCTGCTAGGAGGAGAGAGCAGAGCGACAGATATTAGCTCATCAGCTTTCTGCCTCTCCTTTCACTGTCCAGTCACAGACTGGAGGTGCTGAGGGAAGAGATACTGAACTGCAGTAAAGAAATCAGGTCTCCTGCTCTGCCAGGCAGGTGTAAACAATGTCCTTACATACACTGCCCAAAAAAGTTAAAGGAACACTTTTTAATCAGAGTCTAGCATCAAGTCAATGAAACTCCTGGGATATGGATCTGGTCAGGTAAGTAGCAGAGGGGGTTGTTACTCAGTTTCAGCTGCTTTGGTGTTAATGAAATTAACAACAGGTGCACTAGATGGGCAACAATGAGACGAACCCCAAAACAGGAATAGTTTTACAGGTGGAGGCCACTGACATTTTTCCCCTACTCATCTTTTCTGGCTGTTTTTCACTAGTTTTGCATTTGGCTAGGGTCAGTGTCACTACTGGTAGCATGAGGCCATACCTGGACCCTACAGAGGTTGTACAGGCAGTCCAACTCCTCCAGGATGGCACATCAATACGTGCCAATGCCAGGTTTGCTGTGTCTCCCAGCACAGTCTCAAGAGCATGGAGGAGATTCCAGGAGACAGCAGTTACTCTAGGAGAGCTGGACAGGGCCATAGAAGGTCCTTAACCCATCAGAAGGACCGGTATCTGCTTCTTTGTGTGAGGAGGAACAGGATGAGCTCTGCCAGAGCCCTACAAAATGACCTCCAGCAGGCCACTAGTGTGAATGTCTCTGACCAATCAGAATCAAACTTCATGAGGGTGTCCTGAGGGCCCAACATCTTCTAGTGTGCCTACTGCCAGGCACCACGATTGGCATTTGCCATTGAACACCAGAACTGGTAGGTCCACCACAGATGAGAGCATGTTCCCCCTGAGCACATGTGACAGACGTGAAGAGGTCTGGAGAATCCATGGAGAATGTTATGCTGCCTGTAACATGGTTCAGCATGACCGTTTTGGTGGTGGGTCAGTGATGGTCTGGGGAGGCATATCCATGGAGGGACACAGACCTCTACAGGCTAGACAATGGCACCCTGACTGCCATTAGGTATCGGGATGAAATCCTTGGATCCATTGTCAGACCCTACGCTGGTGTAGTGGGTCCTGAGTTCCTCTTGGTGTAGTGGGTCCCGGATTCCTCCTGGTGCACGACAATGCCCGGCCTCATGTGGGGGGAGTATGCAGGCAGTTCTTGAAGGATGAAGGAATTGATACCATTAAATGGCCCCCCACGTTCGCCTGACCTAAATCCAATAAAACACCTCTGGGATATCATGTTTTGATCCATCCGACACCGCCAGGTTGCACCTCAGACTGTCCAGAAGCTCAGTGATGCCCTGGTCCAGATCTGGGAGGAAATCCCCCAGGACACCATCCGTTGTCTCATTAGGAGCCTCCCGCGACGTTGTCAGGCATGCATACAAGCACGTGGGGGCCATACATACTACTGAGGACCATTCTGAGTTGCTGCAATGACATTTCACCAACATGGACTCCCCTGCTGCATCATTTCTTCACTTTGATTTTCGGGGTGTCTTTGAATTCAGTCCTCTGTAGGTTAACAATTTTCATTTCCATCAAACGATGGGGCGTCCTTATGTTCCTCACCCATCACCCCGTCCATGTCAGTATAGAGGTCCGGCAGGAAGTGTGTTTTTCAAAGTGTTCCTTTAATTTTTTGAGCAGTGTATATTTCATCTGTGTATTTAGCGGTTGGCCTGGAGTTCAGCTTTAAGATCATTCAGAAGTGATGGAGGCTACCCATAATACACAAGAAAAACGAAGACAGCTGATTGGTGCTACATCTCATACATAGCACTTACCTTGCAGGTTGTTATGGAGAGTGGTGCTGTTGATTCCGGTGTACTCTCCAATTAGTGTTACATTCCCCCCATGTCGGATGGTGATTTGGCGTGGCCCAACGGCCAAGAAACTGAGCAAGATGGACAAGAGGACCAGAAAGACCAGAATAAAGATGAAGAAGGCTGCCTGGGAGTAAATGGATGCCCCGATCAGACAGATGGACAGACAGATGAGGAGGACCACGCTGGCATACAGGAAGTTGTATCCGTACCCCTGTGGAAGAGAGCGCAGGGGGTTCGTGGGATCAGACGAGTCTGGGGGGAGATGAGACAGGAGGAGTTATGGAGGAAACCAAAAGCAAAGGAAAGAACTATGATGTAGGCTAGAAAATTGAACTGACCGCTTCCGAAAATATCCAGCACACCCTCCACCAGACCCAGCACATAAACTCCACAGGCACACACATTGGCCAGGTAAAACATCAGGCCAATACTACCACCGAACTCCGGGCCCAGCGTGCGCGAGATCATAACTGGAAGATGGTTAAGGGGCAAGAACTCCAAGAGGCGAAAATACAAAAATACAGTTACTTGAACCCCCAAGATTTTAAAGTGCTGTATGAGTACTTTCCCTTCCTGTGCTTTAAAGTATAATTCCAACCAATACTTGTTTCTTTTTGGATGGTGTGTGAAAGTCAGAACCTCTGTAGGGTTTTTATTGTTGACAGTTCCTGGTAGGGCGATATAACCAAACTCGGGTGGGACAGTGGACTCCAAAAAGTGACAGCTATCCCTAGAACAGAAGAGGCCATTAGGTTGAAGTTTTACTTTAAAGCTGGTCCACACACTTGGCAATTCTGATTAAGAAGTTCACTCACGATCGATTGTCCTACAGCAACCCATCACATTCCATTTCAATCATTTTCAAATTTCCAAAAATTTGTGGTCAACATCAACTGAAACTAATGGCAACACACAAAGACATTTTTGACCGATTTTCATCAGAATATGGTCTGTAAACAAGTTCAAAACTGGAGTGTAGAAGTCCTTGTGTGTGGTTTAATTTTATGTGTTTGTATTTTCAATCAAAATCTGACCAAAAGCTTCGAAGACGCCCAAATATGGCCAGCATTAGATCCACACAAAGTCAGTATCTACGTTAAGGGAGCTATGGATTATAGGTGATACAGGTTCTGGCAGGTCCTTTAATCTGCAGATCTCTTAATGTATATATCTTGGGGAACTTCATAATGAGATCCTATTAGTCCTCTTCCTGTCCAGCTGGGAGGTTTTGGTGTTCCTACCTACCTCAGGGTTATCCCAGTTTTGTTTCTGCCACCTGGAAGATTTTGGTTCCCCTATCCTCACTGGATTTTCCAAGCCCTGTTCTTGTCCACCTTGGGGTGGTGCCAGCTCTGGTGCTACCCATCTAGGGGGTTTGTATCCTCCTGCAAATCTTTGGAGTGGTACCCAATATGTTCCTGCCCACCTGGGAGGATTGGGTGTTCCTTATCAAGTTGGGATGGTCCCAACTCTCTTACTGCCCATCTAGGAGGATTGGGTGTTTCTCAACCACCTTGGGATGGTCCCAGCTCTGTTCCTGCTTACCTATGAGGATTGGGTTTTCTATACCACCTTGGGATGGTTCGAGCTCTCTTCCTGCCAACCTAGGAGGATTGTGTGTTCCTTACCATCTTGGGATGGTCCAAGTTCTGTTCCTGCCCGCCTAGGAGGATTGGGTGTTCCCATTAAGTTTGGATGGTTCCAGCTCGGTTATTGCTTACCTAGGAGGGTTGGGTGTTCCTTACCACCTTGGGATGGTCCCAGCTCTGTTCCTGCTCACCTAGGAGGGCTGGGTGCTCCCACCACCCATGGATGGTTCCAGCTCGGTTATTGCTTACCTAGGAGGGTTGGGTGTTCCTTACCACCTTGGGATGGTCCCAGCTCACCTAGGAGGACTGGGTGCTCCCGCCACCCTTGGATGGTTCCAGCTCGGTTATTGCTTACCTAGGAGGGTTGGGTGTTCCTTACCACCTTGGGATGGTCCCAGCTCACCTAGGAGTACTAGGTGCTCCCCACCACCCTTGGATGGTTCCAGCTCCGTTATTGCTTACCTAGGAGGTTTGGGTGTTCCTTACCAACTTGGGATGATCCCAGCTCTGTTCCTGCTCACCTAGGAGGGCTGGGTGCTCCCGCCACCCCTGGATGGTTCCAGCTCGGTTATTGCTTACCTAGGAGGGTTGGGTGTTCCTTACCACCTTGGGATGGTCCCAGCTCACCTAGGAGGACTGGGTGCTCCCGCCACCCTTGGATGGTTCCAGCTCGGTTATTGCTTACCTAGGAGGGTTGGGTGTTCCTTACCACCTTGGGATGGTCCCAGCTCACCTAGGAGGACTGGGTAATCCTGCCACCCTTGGATAGTTCCAGCTCTGTTATTGCTTACCTAGGAGGTTTGGGTGTTCCTTACCAACTTGGGATGATTCCAGCTACCTTCCTGCCAACCTAGGGGGATTGGGTGTTCTATACCATATTGGGATGGTCCCAACTCTCTTCCTACCCACTTAGGAAGACTGGGTCTTTAGATGGTTCCAACTTACCTTGGAAGTTTGGGTGTTCCTAACACCTTGAGATGGTCCCAGCTCTGTTCCTGCCCACCTAAGAGCTTTAGGCGTTCCAACCCATATACGGGAAATGCTCCTTTAATAGGAGAAATGTGATGGATCCTTAGTAGTAGATTGTAGTATTGGATGGGTTGAATTCGCATTTTGTTACCAGAGACTCATGGTGTCTTCAGTGTCTCGATCCTCCATATAATTACCATGAAATCACCATTTTCCATCCTCTGGTTTTTCACACATTCCACAATTGTCACTATTCCTTTCCACAGTCTAGACATGTCCCATAGAATTAATCTCTCAGATTTTACGCTACATTTTCCTTCATTTATCCTGTTAAATTATACGGATTCCACTGTGTATGTTAAATTTGTGTCCTTATTATGTCTTTGTCTGAACAAAATGTCATGCGTGACAGAATGAGTAATGTTCAGATTGGTGTATGGTACATTGCTGAAGGATACAGTAAGCTCCGCCTCCTTGGACAGCACCATTGGTGGAGATGGCACACACACTCAGCACTGTGAGCCAGATTATGGCGTATGCTACAAGGAGCATGAGGAGAGACTGCAAGAGACCAGCATGGCCAACCACGAATCCTGTGAGAGACAGAAAGGGAGAGCTTGTGAGACAGGCATATAGAGAAAATGTGAGAGCAGGCGCAAGGCAGGCACAGAGAGCGTGCGCAAGGCAGGCACAGAGAGCGCGCGCAAGGCAGGCACAGAGAGCGCAAAAGCAGGCAGAGAGCGCAAAAGCAGGCGCACGTGCTCGCATTCTCTGCCTGCCTTGTGTGCACTTTCACTCTCTCTTTGCCTACCTTGCACGCGCTCTCTGCCTGCAAGTGAGAGAACGCTCAAGGCAGAGAGCGAAAACAAAATAGGCAGACAGAGGAAGAGAGATGGAGAGCAGGCATGAATGTGAGAGGTACGGAGAGAGAGTGGGTGGGCAGACGTGGAGGAAGAGGGAGGGGAGAGACAGCGAGGGCGCGTGAAAGGGAGGGAGAGACAGCGAGGGCGCGTGAAAGGGAGGGAGAGACAGCGAGGGCGCGTGAAAGGGAGGGAGAGACAGCGAGTGCGCGTGAAAGGGAGGGAGAGACAGCGAGTGCGCGTGAAAGGGAGGGAGAGACAGCGAGTGCGCGTGAAAGGGAGGGAGAGACAGCGAGTGCGCGTGAAAGGGGGGGGGAGACAGCGAGTGGGCGTGAAAGGGAGGGAGAGACAGCGAGTGGGCGTGAAAGGGAGGGAGAGACAGCGAGTGGGCGTGAAAGGGAGGGAGAGACAGCGAGTGGGGTGAAAGGGAGGGAGAGACAGCGAGTGGGCGTGAAAGGGAGGGAGAGACAGCGAGTGGGCGTGAAAGGGAGGGAGAGACAGCGAGATGGGCGTGAAAGGGAGGGAGAGACAGCGAGTGGGGGCGTGAAAGGGAGGGAGAGACAGCGATGTGTGGGCGTGAAAGGGAGGGAGAGACAGCGAGTGGGCGTGAAAGGGAGGGAGAGACAGCGAGTGGGCGTGAAAGGGAGGAGAGAGACAGCGAACGTGGGCGTGAAAGGGAGGGAGAGACAGCGAGTGGGCGTGAAAGGGGAGGGAGAGACAGCGAGTGGGCGTGAAAGGGAGGGAGAGACAGCGAGTGGGCGTGAAAGGGAGGGAGAGACAGCGAGTGTGGGCGTGAAAGGGAGGGAGAGACAGCGAGTGGGCGTGAAAGGGAGGGAGAGACAGCGAAGTGGGCGTGAAAGGGAGGGAGAGACAGCGAGAGTGGGCGTGAAAGGGAGGGAGAGACAGCGAGTGGGCGTGAAAGGGAGGGAGAGACAGCGAGTGGGCGTGAAAGGGAGGGAGAGACAGCGAGTGGGGCGTGAAAGGGAGGGAGAGACAGCGAGTGGGCGTGAAAGGGAGGGAGAGACAGCGAGTGGGCGTGAAAGGGAGGGAGAGAGAGACAGCGAGTGGGCGTGAAAGGGAGGGAGAGACAGCGAGTGGGCGTGAAAGGGAGGGAGAGACAGCGAGTGGGCGTGAAAGGGAGGGAGAGACAGCGAGTGGGCGTGAAAGGGAGGGAGAGACAGCGAGTGCGCGTGAAAGGGAGGGAGAGACAGCGAGTGCGCGTGAAAGGGAGGGAGAGACAGCGAGTGCGCGTGAAAAGGGAGGGAGGGAGAGACAGCGAGTGTGCGCGTGAAAGGGAGGGAGAGAGACAGCGAGTGCGCATGAAAGGGAGGGAGAGACAGCGAGTGCGCATGAAAGGGAGGGAGAGACAGCGAGTGCGCATGAAAGGGAGGGAGAGAGACAGCGAGTGCGCATGAAAGGGAGGGAGAGACAGCGAGAGAGAGTGAGGGCATGCTAGAGGGATGGAGGGAGAGAGCTTGAGGGTGTGTAAGAGGTAGAGAGAGAGCGTGACGGAGGGAGAGAAAGATGCGCAAGGGTGCGCGACAGGCAGGAAGAAAGAGGGCGAGAGTGCACGAGAGCCAAGGAGAGAGAGAAAAATAGCACAGGCCCACAAGAGGGAGATAGCAAGTGAGGAAGAGAGAAAGCACCAGGCAGAGACAGAGCTGTGTAAATCTCAGGACTGCAGGACTTTGCATGCAATTATACATTATCATTTTTCAAGTCTTACTTTAAAGCTGAATTTCTGACAAGCACACAAAACACAGAATTCACATATGGAAAATATTTTACATGCAAAGGACTTCTAATTCTGTCCATTCAGTTCTGTTCCGATCCAGACAGGCAGCACATCCAGGCCATTAATTCACACTGCATGGGGTACGTTACCATACATTGCATTAGCCCATCCAAAACGAATTGCATTGTGTGGATGCTCCTTCAACGTATTTACTGGATTTATACTGGAATTTGAATTGGGCTTTAACAGTTGTCCACGTGTACTGAGCCACGTGATACTGATATGGGCAGACAATGACTTCTGTCAGACCAGAGCTCTGTGTTATCATATACACGGCTTTATCAGGCAGATAGACATATCACACAGCGTGTTATCTGACAGACATACAGAGTCTTATCACTGAATACAGAGTCCTATCAGATGGCCGCTCCGAACTGTCTACAGATTTAAAGCTGCACTGCGGGATAAGCAAGGCATGTGTATTGTCCATCTGCAGGGTGTCATGTGCACACACCAGCTTGTGGTTCTTTGGCTGGTCACTCACCTGCACGTACCTTAGCATGCATTAGTGGGCATGCAGTCATGTTTGGCTCTGATACTGGGCATGCGCTCCGGTACTGGAAGGTATTTAAACATCTTCCCTATGGTAACCAGTGCCGTGCATTCTCCTGTCTCCTGTGGCTTACTCTGCCCATTACTGCTATTCTCCTGTCTGCCTTGACCTCTGTCTGGAGGTCAATTATTCTCTTACCTGCAACCTACCTTGACCATTCTCTTGCCTTCAACTTCTCTCTCTAGAAATCAACCATTCTCTTGTTTGCTGCCTGCCTTAACCTCACTTTAGACATCAGTCATTCCCCTGCCTGCGATCTGCTTTGATACCAACTATTCTCTCACTTACTGTCTGTCTGGACCCTTCCTTGACCCTGATCTCTTGTTTGCCTCAACCTCTGCCTGGACTCCAACCATTCTCCGGCCTGCCTCAACCTCTACCTGGACTCCAACCTCAACCTCTGCCCGGACTCCAACCATACTCTGGCCTGCCTCAACCTCTGCCCGGACTCCAACCATTCTCCGGCCTGCCTCAACCTCTGCCCGGACTCCAACCATTCTCCGGCCTGTCTCAACCTCTGCCCGGACTCCAACCATTCCCTGCCTCAACCTCTGCCCGGACTCCAACCACTCTCTGGCCTGCCTCAACCTCTGCCCAGACTCCAACCACTCTCTGGCCTGCCTCAACCTCTGCCCAGACTCCAACTACTCTCTGGCCTGCCTCAACCTCTGCCCAGACTCCAACCACTCTCTGGCCTGCCTCAACCTCTGCCCAGACTCCAACCACTCTCTGGCCTGCCTCAACCTCTGCCCAGACTCCAACCACTCTCTGGCCTGCCTCAACCTCTGCCCAGACTCCAACCACTCTCTGGCCTGCCTCAACCTCTGCCCAGACTCCAACCATTCTCTGGCCTGCCTCAACCTCTGCCCGGACTCCAACCATTCTCTGGCCGGACTCCAACCATTCTCTGGCCTGCCTCAATCTCTGGCTCAACAAACTACACTCTATGGAGGCTGGAGGGGCACAGCATGAGCTAGCTCTGGTATATCATTCCTAACCTGCCCAGTAGACCCATCCCCCCATGGCAGGCCATCCTATGTCCATGGGGGGACCACAGTAGATAGACAGACGTTTTCACTGGACGGAAACACAGATGCAGCACTCACCGATCCTCATGAAGACGACAATGCTGAACATGGACAGGACAGTCGGCACGACCACTCCAAAAAAAGTGGAAAGCTTGCGGGGGGCAGGTCCGGTCCCCACCGTGGTGGCATCTCCATCGCAGAGGGCAGGGTCTGGAGGACCGAGGGCCCCGTCCGACACACTGAAGAGCCGATAGTGCAAGAGAGGGGAGTTCTCCGAGGTCATCACTGGGGGGAGACACTGTTAAGGTTTATTATCAATGGATCTCTATAATGTGTACAAGTCCAATCACTCCTTCCACAACGTGTACACACCCCATGCATGCATCATATCATATACACCCCATGCATGCATCATATCATATACACCCCATACAATATAAAACTCTGTCCATCCCCCAATATATACCCCCATACATCAAAATATACTCCATAGAACACACACCCCACACATGCATCATATAATATACACCCCATACAATCGGTCCATCCCACAATATACACCATAGAATATACACCCCATACATGCATCATATAATATACACCCCTTACAATATACACTCTGTCCATCCCACAATATACACCCTATACATCAAAATATACTCCATAGAATATACACCCCATACATGCATCATATAATATACACCCCATACATCACAAAATATACACCTTATACATCCTACAAATTAAAACACCATATAATATACACCCCATCCAATATAAATCATATAGTATACACTCTGTCCATCTCACAATATACACCCCATACATCACAAAATATACTCCATATAATATATACCTCATACAATATAAATCATATAGTATACACTCTGTCCATCCCACAATATACACTCTATACAATATTCATCATATAGTATACACCCCATACATCACAAAATATACTCCATATAATATACACCCCATGCATCACACAATATACACATCATATAATATACACCCCTGTACATCCCACACAATATACACCATATAATATACATCATATAGTATACATCCCACAATATAAACCCCATACATAACAAAATATACACCATATAGAATACACTCTGTCCATCCCCCAATATACACCACATACATCACACAAAATACAATACATACATCATATAAAATACACCCCCTACATACAAATTCAATAATTCCTGCCACAATGTGTACACACCACATTCATACAATCATATAATATACACCCCATACATCCTACAATATACAGCATATAACAGACATCCCGTACATTCCACAATATGTACCCCATACATGGCACAATCTAAATGATATATAAACATACACCCCGTACATGCCACAATCTACATTATATATAATATACACTCTTTACATGCCACAGTATACATCCCATAACATTCCACAACATAATATACACCCCATACATGCCACAATATACTCCCCATACATGCCACAATATACTCCCCATACATGCCACAATATACTCCCCATACATGCCACAATATACTCCCCATACATGCCACAATATACTCCCCATACATGCCACAATATTACATCCCATACATGCCACAATACACACCCCATACATGCCACAATACACTCCCCATACATGCCACAATACACACCCCATACTATACTCCCCATACATGCCACAATATACACCCCACGCATGCCACAATATACACCCCACACATGCCACAATACACACCCCACACATGCCACAATACACACCCCACACATGCCACAATACACACCCCATACATGCCACAATACACACCCCATAATATACTCCCCATACATGCCACAATATACACCCCATACATGTCACAATATACTCCCCACAATATACACCCCATAATATACACCCCATACATGCCACAATATACTCCCCATACTATACTCCCCATACATGCCATAATATACTCCCCATACATGCCACAATATACTCCCCATACATGCCACAATACACACCCCATACATGCCACAATACACACCCCATACATGCTACAATATACACCCCATAATATACTCCCCATACATGCCACAATATACTCCCCATACATGCCACAATACACACCCCATACATGCTACAATAATATACACCCCATAATATACTCCCCATACATGCCACAATATACTCCCCATACATGCCACAATACACACCCCATACATGCTACAATATACACCCCATAATATACTCCCCATACATGCCACAATATACTCCCCATACATGCCACAATATACTCCCCATACATGCCACAATACACACCCCATACATGCCACAATATACACCCCATATAATACACTTCACACAGTATACAGCTCGTCCATCCCACAATACGTATACATTTAATATACACCCCCACAAAAGAAAGCATATAATAAAGATTCCACAATATAGTATACACCGTCCATCCCACAATATACAGCAGGGTGTTGATTCACTAAATGAGAAGCACTCAGAATCTGGTGCAGCTGTGCCTGGGAGCCAATCAGCTTCTAACTTCAGCTTGCTCAATTAAGTTTTGGCAATAAAACCTGGAAGCTGATTGGTTACTATGCAGAGCTGCAGCAGATTGGAAGAGCTCCAGTTTTAGTAAATCTCCCCCTACACACCCCACACCACATAGACCCACATTGTACAATACATACATCATATAATATACACCCTGTACATCCCCCAATATACACCATAAAATATACACATGGAACATGGACACAATACACACCACAAAGTGTACAAACACACAATATACATCACACACAAACGTAGAATCACAGAATATACAACATATCCATCCCATATACACACACTGCATCCTGAGCGGTGACATCCAATGTACACACACCCAGCTCTGTCCTGCACCCCCCCCCCCACCTCCTCTTCCTGGTCAGCTGACTGATCACATGACCTGCCCTCCCCTTATATCTGCTGAGCCATACAAAGACTCCATTCACTGAGATACAATGTATAACCCGGACACAGATACAATGTATCCTCTGCGTCCTCCTCTGTACACCCCGATCACAGCGAGACCGGACAATGTTACTTCATGTATCCGTCTGCAACATTGTGTCCGGGCTGAGATCACAGGATTTATTACACGGAACATGAATATAATACCGAGTATACACCGATCACACCTCACCGTATAATAATACCGAGTATACACCGATCACATCACACCTCACCGTATAATAATACCGAGTATACACCGATCACACCTCACCGTATAATAATACCGAGTATACACCGATCACATCACACCTCACCGTATAATAATACCGAGTATACACCGATCACACCTCACCGTATAATAATACCGAGTATACACCGATCACACCTCACCGTATAATAATACCGAGTATACACCGATCACACCTCACCGTATAATAATACCGAGTATACACCGATCACATCACATCTCACCGTATAATAATACCGAGTATACACCGATCACACCTCACCGTATAATACCGAGTATACACCGATCACATCACACCTCACCGTATAATAATACAGAGTATACACCGATCACACCTCACCGTATAATAATACCGAGTATACACCGATCACACCTCACCGTATAATAATACCGAGTATACACCGATCACACCTCACCGTATAATAATACCGAGTATACACCGATCACACCTCACCGTATAATAATACCGAGTATACACCGATCACATCACATCGTATAATAATACAGAGTATACACCGATCACATCACACCTCACCGTATAATAATACCGAGTATACACCGATCACATCACACCGTATAATAATACCGAGTATACACCGATCACATCACACCTCACCGTATAATACAGAGTATACACCGATCACACCTCACCGTATAATAATACAGAGTATACACCGATCACACCTCACCGTATAATAATACTGAGTATACACCGATCACATCACACCTCACCGTATAATAATACCGAGTATACACCGATCACATCACACCTCACCGTATAATAATACCGAGTATACACCGATCACATCACACCGTATAATAATACTGAGTATACACCGATCACACCTCACCGTATAATAATACCGAGTATACACCGATCACATCACATCGTATAATAATACCGAGTATACACCGATCACATCACATCGTATAATAATACCGAGTATACACCGATCACATCACACCTCACCGTATAATAATACCGAGTATACACCGATCACATCTCACCGTATAATAATACCGAGTATACACCGATCACATCACACCGTATAATAATACTGAGTATACACCGATCACATCACACCTCACCGTATAATAATACTGAGTATACACCGATCACACCTCACCGTATAATAATACAGAGTATACACCGATCACACCTCACCGTATAATAATACCGAGTATACACCGATCACACCTCACCGTATAATAAATACTGAGTATACACCGATCACATCACACCGTATAATAATACCGAGTATACACAGATCACACCTCACCGTATAATAATACCGAGTATACACCGATCACACCTCACCGTATAATAATACCGAGTATACACCGATCACACCTCACCGTATAATAATACCGAGTATACACCGATCACATCACACCTCACCGTATAATAATACTGAGTATACACCGATCACACCTCACCGTATAATAATACCGAGTATACACCGATCACACCTCACCGTATAATAATACCGAGTATACACCGATCACACCTCACCGTATAATAATACCGAGTATACACCGATCACACCTCACCGTATAATAATACCGAGTATACAACGATCACACCTCACCGTATAATAATACCGAGTATACACCGATCACACCTCACCGTATAATAATACCGAGTATACACCGATCACACCTCACCGTATAATAATACCGAGTATACACCGATCACACCTCACCGTATACTATACTGAATATACAAAAAATAAATTATATTCAATGCACTGCTATCAGTTATGTTCCTGTTATTTCTATGGGTCTGGATGTTGGTCATACAGAAGAATTCTCAGTGAAGAGCCATGAAAGTGGCGGAGAATGCGATTTTTGTGCACAGAGGACATGTGATGGTAATTTGTCACACGTGGTGAATCATGTGCTTCTTCCTGGTTCTCCTCATTGCTGGTCATTGCTCAAGTTTTCTCCAGCGGAGATTTCCTGCCTGCCGAGTCTCCAGACAATTCCTGATATGTACAGTATATGAGATGGGAGCATTTCCAGCTCTTCACACCATGGGGCACT